TGGCGGGGGGGCTTAGTAGCCGTGTCTTGGTCTCCCACGGTGAACAAAGAGGAACCCACGTGGCTGGCCCGAGGTGAAGGGCCGGCCTGAGGTGGCCACTCCGAGTGGGCTTGGGGAGCCCACTTCGGATGTGTGCTGGTGGACTGCAGCGAGTGGGGACTCCGCACCCTCTACCGCTGCAGCCGAGGTGGAGTCGCGGAGGAAGAGGAGTGTTGGTATGGCGATGCGCCACTCGCCCTATCCTCCGCGACTCAAACGGGGCCGCACCGTTGATGCGGGGGGAGAGGATTGTCGGTATTGCGAGGCGCCGCTCTCCCTATCCTCCGCAGCCGAATCTTGGTTGGCGGCGGAGCCATAGACCAGATCCGCCGCTGGGGTCAGGAAGGCTAGTACTTCTAAGTGCTCGTTTTTCCTGGCCCCATGGCCTTCGCACATCGGACGCGTCGAGGGCGTCTGTTGCGCAGACGCAATTGGAGGCCGTGGAGGGAGGCGTGCCATGTGTTCTGGTGCGCCTTACTTGGGAAGGAGAACGGGGAGGAATATTCCTCTCCCGAGGAGGTGCTGCCATGGGGCGGCAGTCGCTGGTAGGGCCGCGGAAGTGTGCGAAAGCGTTCCCGTAGCCCTGCCAATATGCGACGAAGGTGGAACACCATGGGGTTTTAGTCGGTGCGAGTCCGACATAACCCGTCCTTGCCCCCGCGAGGCGGGTATGCGTAGGCATTTCCCCATGTTAAAAAAAAAAGCATTTTAACAAAAGAACAGTTAACTTATGTAGAACTTAAGGTCCGTATAAACTCTTATACTCGTATATGTTCACCGAGCATCGCTGACAGTGACATTTCTAAACTATTATGATGCTTTATATTGAGGCTTTATATTGACATTTCTAAACCATTATGATGCTTTATGCTGTATAACGGTTGGATAATGGCATATCAAAATGCTTTTATAGAACATTAAGTTTTAGTGCAGCAAACCACAACGTAGTTGTACAGCTTTTAGCAGTTTTTAGTGCACTTGGATCTACAATACCATTTTTAAGTTTTTTTTATAGTATAGGGTGACAAACGAGCACACAGTCCACCTGATGCTCATTGCTGTGGCCCATAGACATCTACATCTATCCTCGATTACGAATCAAAATGCAGATGCATTGTCACCCGTGAGAACTTAGGTGGAATGCCTCGTTTCCAGTAAAAAGGGTCTCCGGTTCTCTACACTTACCATACGAAACGCAGCAGCGTTATGCTGCTACTTGAAGCTATTATTCTCTTTATTCAGCTTAATAGCTACTATTTGGCGCTGGTATTCTGTGAGAGCGTGGTCCCTCCCCGGTCAAGCCGACCCATTCGTGCTGCAACTATACTACTAATATAACTGCAGCTTGGCTCTACCACAAAAAATAAGTTAAGTAGTAAATAAATGCTTAAATGGTGTTTAATAGCATACACATGAACCATTATAATGCCATATTAATCCGTTATATAGCTTTCAGCTGTTTTTAGTGCCTTCATGTAAACAATAGCATTTTTAAGTAATAAGATAATGCAGAATGCTGCTTAATAGTTTAAACTTGCACCATTATAATGCACCGTATATCCATTATACAGGTTTGAGCTGTTTTAGTGCCCTTTGATGTATAACAGCACTTTTAAGTGGTAAGTAAAAGCCTATTACTACTGAACAGCATAAATGTGAATCAATGTAATGCTTGAATTTCTAAACATCAACTGTGTTCTGTTGTACAGCTAACAGCTCTTTAATCAAATTACCCTTGAGTTATTGTAATGCGTAAAGCTGTATGATATATATTAATTTTACTGTCTTCGTAAAACCATTTGTCGGCCATAATATAGGGAGAAGCAACACATGCACATGTTTTGTTGATCATATATTTTTTAGCGTAGTTTTTAAGTAATGGCACTATTTCAGTCTACTTCAAGTCTACCAGTAGAGGTACTGGTGAACCCATATAGAACTACTTTATAGACAATGACACTGCAGTGATTCATCAAAAGTCTTCTCTCTGGTCTCTAGCTTAATAATTGTTATTTGTGAGTATTTATACTGCTGACGGCATTAATTAATCTTTTTAAAGGCTCACCGGGCTGTTATACACCGACAGTATTTTGTAAATATTTTATAACCATAAAATATGTCATCATTCGGAACTATTTTTAAAAGCAATAGACCTACATAATAAAAATATAACTTAATTTAATACTGCCCAACCAATACTATTATGTTAATGAAGCAAAATTCGTTCTATACCAGGAATACACAATTGTTTTGGTTATTTCACTCATATCTTTATATTACTTTTTATATCAAAACCACAAAATATCGAATGCGCGTGAAAATTTTCATGAAACTTATATAAACATTTACAGTAAACTACTGTTAAGAGCTTGGGGTCGTGGCAATAAATACTGCCGATTGAATTACCAAAATTTACACTTTAATTACTGAACACACGTGTACCAGGCATTAATTGTGGCGCGCAACACTACATTTGGGCAGTAATATTTTTGTTTTGATGCAAACAAATATGGTCATGTTATTTGTATGCTCAGTTTTGACCGTTTTCCTTCATCCATATATTATATTGCGAGGCATATTAAGTAGTTAAATTACAACGTTAATTGTATTATTAACATTTAGTACCGCGTAGTAGGGATATTTTTGAATGAATGTAGGGTTTATTTAAGGTCTAACTGTAAACACTTAAATAGCTCCAATCATTCGTTTACTACATTTTAATGCTAGTATTATGCTCTTGCAATGCAATTAACTAAATACCTCACTGCGGTTCCTCTATGTTAGAGGTCCGTATCACCAACAAGGAGGTTCTTAAAACCTTGCGAAGTCTAGACGTGAACAAAGCTAGTGGACCAGATGGTATATTTCTAAAGATCTGTGCGCCTGAGTTGTCTCCTTTGCTGACACGCTTGTTTCGCCTCTCATTTAGGACTGGAATAGTGCCCAAATCTTGGAAACTAGCCAAAGTGCAGACTGTGCCTAAAAAGGTTAGCCGTGCTGACCCTGCCAACTATCGGCCAATATCAATTACCTCCATACTCTGTAAGATTATATATTGAACGCCGACCTCATGGCATACCTAGACCAAAATGATCTCCTCAGTGACCGCCAGTATAGGTTTCGCCAAAATCGCTCAACTGGAGACCTTCTAGCGCATGCCACTCACATATGGGGCGAAGCACTTGGGAACAGTGGGGAAGCACTTGCTGTTTCCCTTGATGTCTCGAAGGCCTTTGCTAGGGTTTGGCACGCTAGCCTTTTAGGGCAAGCTTCCAGCTTACATCCAATCCGAAAGAGAAACTATGGTTGAGCGAGCGAATTTCTCCCTACAGGCGGTCTCCGAAGCATAAGGGTTTCTTTTAACCGCTTAAAGGAGCCCACTCACCTTGGATCCTACTTTCCGGAATGTATCCTTGGAATACAGTAACCACCTTCAGTTATTAAGGGTTGAATTTTCTCCAAACCTCATCTATAGGCGGTTCATTGAATCCAGGGCCGAAACAGCCGCAGCACTTGGCAGCTTATACCAGTTATATTATTCTATAGTATGCATTTCGGTGAGTGTGCGCAGGAATTACACGTATTCACATATTCCTCCCTTTCCTTTCCATCATCGGACAATCAGACTGTCGGTGGGTCTTCACCCCTTTTTTGTCGATATTCCACGCATTAGAAACAAACAGTTTGCTTCTTTTGTAATGCGTACAGCAAAGGATTGTAATAATTTGCCGACATTTTGTCTGTCCGAATACAATCTGGGCGTTTTCAAAGCAAGAGTGAATAGACTTTTGTTACGCTAAGGCAGTGCGATTTACCATATAGAGCTACATTACCACTTACCACCAGGTGAGCTTGTGGTAATAAATGGCTTATAATATGGAAAAAAAATTATTCATTATCAATAATAATGGTAATATAATGCTTCTTCAATGCGGTTGGCAACTTCATTGACCATAATAATGCTTGTTTAATGCGATTGATACCTTCTTTAACTACAATAATACTAATATAATGCGCCTGTAACCTTGCAGTTAAACAACTATTGTTAACCTATTTAGGATCTAAAGCCGTATGATTTGTGCCCAAATAAGTATTACAGTAGCCGTATAAACGTTTGTAATGCTACTATATAACTAACTCAAAATGCGAAAACGATACAGAAATGCTGTAAGTCGGCCGTTATACTGCTTTGATGTGTTATTTGGGTACTAAATTAAATGCACATAGTTTTATTCCTTTTTTGTTTTTAAAGTTGGTTTCCCTTATTCAAAATTAATTATTTTACACTTTTGGGTGGACTAAGCAGTAACATCATCATCATCATCATTATAGCTCTTCACAAGTTTACTGCTGAACATAGGCCTCCTCCGAGGAATGCCACAAAGCACGGTCCTGAGCCATCTGCATCCATCGACTACTCATATACCTACCCCCATGGCGAGAGTTAGGTACATCATCATCATTAGAATATAATTATGTATTTAACTAAAACTAATATTTAAAATCTTTCTAAAACTTATAGCCTATTTAGTAAAATAGGTATTTTAAAATCGGTTAACAATTGACAAAGATATCACGTAACATTCATAGAGAGAAAAAATAAGTCGGGGACCTTATTCTTTTTATTGAAGTCGGGTGAAGAATTTGTAAAACTTAATACGCAAAAACTATACGACACTATGACCTATTCAGACGTAAGAAATAACATTGAATACAAACTTCACAATTAGAGCATAGCCACATACTTTTTCAAAGGTTACGGACGTGGTTAGGTCATAGGTGCTAAAATTCTAAAATCAAAGATTTCAGTCACATTGAAAAATTATTCATTTTGGCATTGACGGGCAGAAAGTCTGTTTAAGACAAAAGTCAAAATTAACTGTTGAACATAAACAGGAATAATGTTAAAATATATTATGCAGATATTTTAAAATTAACACGAATATATATTAACTCTTATAATGAACAACAAAAGGCGGTAAGCTAATATAGTATCTTCTATTTTATATACCTATATACCTAGTTTGGATTTGTTGTGCTAATAGAAAAATTTAAATGGTAACGCCTCAGTCATACATAGGTAAAAATTAAAGTTACACGTAAACACATTATACTTCATTGTTGCTTCTCAGCTATTTATATTGGAAAATTCATAATCTCAGATTATAACATAATATGGAACAATTCACAATTTGGTTTTGCTTCGTCGTATCATATACCTATGCACTGCAAGCTATACAACTTTTTTAAACCGTGTTCTCAGTCTACAACCAGTCGATTTCACTATTATCGGTCTGCTGTTTTCGAGAGTTTATTTATTATACGGGCTCCAGTCTCCTGTGTGATTTACGGCGTGGATTCACGCCGTAATTTTGCCGCGAAGTCGTCGCGAAAAACACATTCCTCCACATTCGCAATCGTTCACAGTTTAGTTTAGTTCGCGCGCTCGTCGAGAATGGACGCTGAAATATGCACTGCTATCGCCGTGACGCTATGCGCTTTACGCTCACGACAATTACGTGTATATAAAAGATAAACAAAACCGTATTTGTAGTTTTTTTTTTACAATTATCGCTTTCTCCTAGAAAAGCATCGATCACGTCAAAAGCAATTGAAATGGGCTTGTAAATTTTGTCGCTGCTTGATCCAGACTTCCTTTCCGAATCCTTTCAGAATCATTCACCTTTTTCTTATAATTTCTGTAACTGGACATTAGATATATATTTTGTTTTTAGATAGACATAGATTTTGTTTTTGTCAATCATTCGCTTCAACGCTTTTCGTGGCAGAGCCATGCTGCAGTTATATTAGTAGTATAGTTGTAGCACGAATGGGTCGGCTCGACCGGGGAAGGACCACGCTCTCACAGAATTCCAACGTAAAATAGTAGCTTAATGCTGCTGTGTTTCGTATGGTGACTGTAGAGAACCGGAGACCTCTTTTACTGGAAACGAGGCATTCCATCCTAGACCTCAAGGGTGAGAATGCATCTGCATTTTGATTTGTAATCTAGGATAGATGTAGACATGGGCCATAGCATCCACATACCATCAGGTGGACTTTGTGCTCGTTTGTCACCCTATCCTATAAAATAAAATAAAATAATATTCATTATTTCCTTTATTCGTATCCATGCGTCATGTACTTTCATTTTATTTTTATGATCTTTATGTTTAGCATCCCATATTCGGTTCGGCATGATGACACTCGATCAACAAGAATTCCTGCTCGTTCGTCCAACTGAAACTCATTTCGACCCACCGTCCTCCGTAAAAAAATACAAATAAGCACAACCTCACAGCAACGAGTCTCGCGCGTTACCGCGTTACTGATTTCACGCGCGAGTGTGGATCCGCTTGCGTTCACGGGAGGTTCACGCCTCGTAAACCCTTGGAAGCGGTCACAAAATACCGACACTGAACGGGGAACAAGGCGTGAAAAGGCGCGAAGCCTGTGAACGGGCGCGAAAGCCATCCACATTCGCTGTTCACGCCTTTCACTTGTGTTCAACACATAACGTGAACACATAATGTGTTCACGGCGAGAATGTGGACGGCGCTTTAGGTTAGAATCTTAAAGTATACATAAGTAAGCTATGCTTATGTACATTCAACTGAAAATATTCTGATAGTAGAATTTTTTGCTGCTGATGTAAATTTCCCATTACACAATCAAGCAGATTTTTTTAATATTTTTTGCTTGTATGTTCTCCCTTAATTATGCTTCTCGTAGTAATGGATTTAATAATGTTTGTTTCAGTTATTGCAAATGTTCTTCCAAAAAGAAAAATAGTCGCAAGAAAATTCAGTTTACGGATTGCAAAAATGTCAAAGAAATTATTGAAGCTCTTCTTTGTCAGGAAGATGGTAAGCATTGGGTTAATGTTATTATAATTTATTTGAGTGACTTACAAGTTAATTCATAGGAAACCCGTATATAATATAATATATTTCATGGATGTGTAAAGTCTGTCGACCCTAACTAGAATATAATTGCGGACTAATCTCTTCCCGGTTTACGGTCCCAACCTCAGCATTAAGACTTATTAACTTATTAAAGATAAATGTTTTTTACGATTTATAAGCTATATCATATTGTTATCAAAAACTTATAGTTCCAAAATTTTAAGGGCCAACAGACGTCTGCAAAAGTAAGTCACACCGGCGTGCACATTTCAAAACGAAATCTTTTAAGCCCCGTCATTATAAAGACACTTGTGTTCCAATGACTCCTTCTATGCATACAAGGTAAAAATGATTAGAGATTTTTTTCTCGTAATGGTCTAAATTATTTTAAATATTTATCCCTAAAAGGCGTTACGTAAAAACCTATATGTACTTTAAATTGCAGGTTACGGTATATTGGGCATTGCCCACTAGAGCCAGCGAAACCATTGGATTGGAAAACTAGGTATGTTTTATATGCCTACTTTCACAATTAATAAAAATATAAATTTGAATTAAATAGAGATTTCGAGATGAATAATTGCTACTTCAGCGTTCTGATCTGTTCAAAAAACAACATAATTTTTTTAGTTACTTCATCTTTTATACAAAAAAGCAGTACTTATCGAGCGATATAAACACTAGGTATAAACACTTTTTAAAGTTATGTAAAGGCAGCTTCTCACATGCCTGCCGCAGGGGCAATCTAGGGTATAGGAGTGGGGTTGATCCTTGCCTCCTTAATTGTGATGTGTATGTACAACCAGGGGCAATATCTTAGGTTGGCCCAGCGGCAGGACGACAGGGGCAAAAGACCTTCATTGTTCCTTAGATCATAGTGTGTAGCGCAATTTGAGCAATTTACAATCAGTTCGATAACGACTTTGTGGGAGTACAAGTCGCAATGGATAACAATAAAGATCCTGAAATTTGGACACCGATGATAGAAGTGTATAAAGGGCTGCTTCTTCACCCAGTATTTCTTTTTTGCGGAAGTACCACAGAAATAACGTTATTTTAACATGGTGACGTTTTTAACGTGGTAGAGCCATGCAGCAGCAATTATTTATATAGTAATTATTAATTAATTACTTGTATTATAGATAAATGTAGGTGTTTCTTTCTATGAACCACAGTATCCATTTAACATCAGGGTAACTGTGAAATTTTTTGTCACCCTTATTCTATAAAAAGAACCAAGGTTATACTGATCCTTTGATATTTCGATACAACTGGAACCATTCTCCGCGTGTTCAGCGGGACGTACACTCATAATGAACGGCAGGCACATGCAGAGACAATTCTGATATTGCCTCAATCTGCACACCCTAGATTGCCCCTGCGGCAGGCATGTGAGTAGCCGCTTTTATGATTCGACCGTTGAATAAAAGATAAAGTAAAAAAGGTCACCATTTATTTGATCAATTTCTCGATTTTTTTTAAAATAGAAGCTTCAAATTCTTTTTATAAAATATAGACTCGATCACTTGTAGCTGTGCTCTCTATTTATAGATTAGTTCCGAAGATTAGTTCGGACAGACAGACAGATAGACAAACATTTTAAAAGTGGGTCATTGTATGTGTAACGGCATGTAAAGAACCTTCTCAGCTCAATAAGACAGTTCGACAATACATTTACAATTCTATAGATTGACACTATAATTCTATAGATATATGACGGGCGTAATTTTTTTGTGAATATAATATTGTTGCGTGAATAAGTCAACGTCATACACTAGCGCCATCTAGTGTCAGGAACGAGAGCGAGGGGAGCTTTGCAGAAAATGACATCACAAATCTTTTAACCGACAGCGCCATCTAGTCTCAAACCGAAGAACTAAGTTTCTAGAAAATCTACACTCGAACACTCGTCGCTTTGCGCGCATTTACTTGAATATTCCGGATGCTTCATTGCTAATTTGTATATATAGGCGCTGCAAGATGCGATCGAAGCAGTATTGGATTTGGCGAGACAAGCGAAGCTTCGGAGCGGAATAAAGTGAATTAGTGTGTTTAATTATTAGTGTTTTTAACCTTAATTTGTGTAAAGGAAATTAAAGTGTTAATTTAGGTAATTTTATCGGCGATTTTTATTGTCACGAACCTCAAGCTCGTAACAATATATTCTTAAATAAATTATAATATCATCAGGGGGGATATAAATTTGGAGAAAAGATTTCTTCTCTTAGGGTGGGAAATAGGGGATGCAGATTACCTATGAATAAAACTATGAATAAAAGTTACCTTGAACTTGTCCTTAGCCCCAGACCTTACAGTTACACCCTGTTAAAATCAACTAGTGAACATAAGCCTCCCCTATAGATTGCCTCAAAGGTGGGATAACTGCCATAGTTGCCACGCTTGGCAAGCGTGTTGGCAACCGCAGTTTTTTATTTTTACTCGTTATTAGGAAGACGCTGCTGCCCTTCTCCTGATTTGTTTTCATCTGTCGCCTCTTATCCACGGGATGATATGGGGTAGTGGATATTCTTACACTGCCTCTACACGGGTTACGACGGGCTAGTCCCAGACCTTCACTTAGAAGGGTAAAAAGATGAAATTTTGAAAATCCAACAATACATACACCATTACACTATTTATTCTTTTTAAATTTTGAAGTCGGTTTGTACTTTTTCAAGTTACTTTTTTTACTTACATGTTTGAAGGCAAGCGTTCACTGATTATGAGTTCGTATCATCATCCGAAGACGATGACGAAAGTGGTGGAATTTTGAGGTTAAGAAAGAAAAGTAAATACAAAAAAAAAGTCCGCTATTACGATCTTTTACCGGGGGATATATATTTGCCAACGCCGCCGCCCGTTATAAAGCACACGTCGTCAGATCAATCCATATTAAATGTAAGTTTTTCTTTTATTTTTATTAAACATGACAAATGGGTGAATCAACTTTTTTTGTGAAAACGTGTCCCCAACAGTATAAATTATTAAAAACTTACATTTTGAGTATTAAGGCTTTAATTTTAGTACAGTTATAAAATCAGATATTTCGTAGTTAATTCGAATTAATACTTAGCTGCAGTTATACTCAAAAATCCAAAAATAAAACTCGTGACCCAGTGGACTAAATAGTCTTCCCATACAAATTCATCCTGTCCCCACGGAGTGTCGGCCTGGTATCTAGAAATGATACTATATTTTTTTCCTAAGGATGCAATGAGCTTTTTCTATGAAAATTAAATACTACATGCTTTCTTTCTTTGTCTCTTTTTATAGATCCCTAAGTTTAGTTTTCGGTATAATAATTAAAATCATAATTTATGTCCCCACGATAGCAGTAGAACATGCGTCTCCTGGGTCACACGCATAAAACATTGTAAAATACGAGAGAGATAGCATGTGAGTGGCTTTTAGCAGTGATTTGGCTCGACCATTTCGTCCGTGACTTCAAAAGTGCATGCGTGTGTTCATTGTGCTTCCGCTGGCTGACGTCGTAATATTTATTTAGATAATATTTTAATACGTTACTTTCAAACTAATTTCTTAAGTTTTAAATCTGTAATTCCTCTAATATATGTAATTATCAATTTATCGAAACTTTTCTTAAGAAAAAGCGTGAAAAATCGTATTATTTCTCCTGGGTCACAGTTCCACTGAGTCACAAAACGAGTGACCCAAGAGACAATTCTTGTGAGCCAAGAGACATCTTGCATTTTCTTTGCATATGATAACGAATAAGTCTCCTTAATAAATATTTACATTCTATTTCAATGTTCAATTACCAATTCCGTTTTCTCTGTAAAGTATTTTCATGTTAATTATTAGGTTTGTTTTGGTTTAGTGTAAGTTTAATCGTTTCAGTAAATACGCCTTTAACAGCCGCCGAAAGGCAGAGTAGATATAAAAAAAAACTCAAACTGAATTCTGAAAAGTACGAAGAATATAAAAGAAAAAAGCATGTGAATTATCATACAAAAAGAGACTTATCAAAGACTTAACACCACAAGAGAAATATAATGCAAGAACAACTTGGAAACTTAGGAAGAAAAACTTAAGACAAAACAGGAATAATTTAAATCACCTTCTTGATGATATAACACCTCTAAGTTCTTCTTCTATATTGATACCTGAAGCAGATGCTATGGTAGCCCATGATGCTTTTCAAAATTCACCGCATCGAAACAATGACGAGACGGATATATCTGGTATTAATAGTCCGCAAAATATGCTTCCACATCAAAATGTATCAAGGAAGAGTAAATGACTACAGAAAATTAGGAGAGATCGATCAAAATTATATAGGGAAAATTTAAAGTTGCGGAAAGAAAATGAAAAACTACAACAAAAATACGAAAAATAAGAAAAAACGTTGCCAAAGAAACAAACATGAAACAAAAGCAAATGACAATGCTGATGAAATGACAAAGTACAAAAAGCTATCCGGTGTTTTCAAAGAAAGGTACCAAAAAACAAAGAAACACAAAGATAAGAAAATACTGAAAGACATATTTGAAAGTGTTGATGACTGTGCAAAAAAAGTAATAGTTAAAGAATCTCTGGGAATAACCGGACAAATAAGGACTTGAAAGTCAAAGCTAATGCTTATTTTAACTATTTAATCAACCCGATTGATAGAATTATGCCAAGCTCACAACAAGAATTGGTTTCAACTGGTTTATAAAACACCTGAAACTTCTGATGATGAGCCAGTGATGACATCTCTAAAACCAAAAAGTTCAACAGCACAACTTTGTAACAAAAAAGAGAACCAAGAGGTGAGACAGATGGACTTTTAAGTAAGATTTTTAAATATGCTTGTGTAGTCGATGATTTGCTCGAAGATTCAAATTTCACAAAACACATTTCGTCTCGAAAAGAGTGACGTAGCTGACATCGACTACACTGACATAATATAAATTCTAGCTGAGCATAAAACGACTACCAAAAGAGGCCAACACTATTACATATTTGAATATAATGTACACGTTTTAGAGAAGTGATTTGGCAATAGTTATTTACTTCACTACTTTAAAGTTTCCGTTATTATATATATTTTTACTTATTGTGATTGTGCTTTTTGTTGGACTTTTTATTATAATTTGTTATTTAGACTACACAACAGAGTTTTTGACAGAATTTTTATATTATTAACAATTTTAAATTTATTATTTTTCTTTTAATTTTGGTTGGTATATCGTTATGTCTCTTGAGTCACTAAGTTTGTCTCCTGGCTAATAACAATGTCCCCTAATTTTATAATGAATCCCTCGACATTGAAATAGAACAAAATATCTTAGGTATATTTTATTTTTATATAATGGTTGATGAATAAGTGGCGGTAAGTATAGTATTAGTTTGGCTTACATGTGTTATTTAAAAAAAAGTTATAGTTAAAGTTTGTATTGATTTATTTTACCAGTGACCCAAGAGAAACAAGGCACGTCATTATTTTAAGAATAAGACTGATTTTTTTAGTTTCAAAGACCTATAATAATTCCTTTAAACTTTAATAAAAAATAAATATACTGATTAATCTTTTCTGTTTTGTTTTACTTACGATATATTGTATAATATGTCCGTTACCCAAGAGACATTTAAAGTTGTCAGTTCTGACATTCTTGGTTAAAAACCCTAATAGCATTTAAAAAAAGTTCGATGCTCTACATAAAATATTAAAACTAGATGGTTAAGTTATCTATATTTAAAGTTAAATAACTAAAAACACTAAGTTTATTTTTTAACACAAAAAGTTGATTAATTACAGAAAATAGTTGATTCACCCAAATAATACTAAGTGTAACAACAATATGTTTATAAAAATGTATTTATTATCATTTGCTTTATAGTTTTGTAACGTCATCTACCTACTTCATTAATTCATTTTATCGATTAAAAATATTTTGACTCTCAAGGTGGTACACAAAAGAGACGCTAGATGGCCTGAAGTAATAAAATTGTAGTTGATAAATGCAACGATATTTTTATACGGCTTGACCAAAATTGCCAACATTTGTCTGTAATCCTTACATAAAATATCTTCTTGCTCAAAGTCCGTTAGAGTCCACAGCTGGACATGAGGCCCTGAAAATTTTGATATAATCATCAAGTCTTGACACTGATCTCATCGCGGTATGAATATTTTATATCTGACGTCAATAGTATGCCAAGGTTACTCTGCCTAGTTGAAAGTCCTAAGATCTTTCTTAAATTTCCCATAGTCTGGTTTTACTATACCCATGGGAGGCGGGACGAAACGGGCTTATGAATTCTCTAAAGGTCTAACGGTAAAATGCCATAAAAAATTAACACTTAAAATAAAATAAATAAATATTCCAGATAATGTTAATAGTAAAACTCATAGCCATATTTACACTGAATAAAAATTGAAATAAATTTTTAATTTATGTCAATTGGAAACACAAATATTGATTTTATTATATGGATCAAATTAGGTAGCTAGTCCTAAAATAAGCGGAGAGGTGATATCAGCCCAAAGAGCATCCGTGCATGCTGCAGACTTGAAACCGCCCCTGCCACCAGAGTCGGGCTATAAGTAAGTGTTTTTTTAATTGAAATTGAAAATCCAAATTCAAACATATCATCCCGTTTTGAGTTTGAGTTTTGAGTCCACAGAGGCAGATTTTATTATATTCAAAAGGATATCTAAGTTTTTCATTTCCCAAATCTTGAGAAGTAATTAATGATAATATTGTCTTCATAACTATTGCTTATATTAAGGACGCGTTTGCAAATCAACCAAAATTAGGGTGTTTTTCGGGAGATTTTGTGACAAAACTAAACAAAATCAAATATAAGTAAAAACTACCATGTATAGATTGGTTCTTCATCTGCAAACGTCTGTAACTATTTTGTTGAAAATAGTAGTTTTTTATATTGTAAAAACGAACTTTCGTTGCCATTTTCTACAAAATTAACGATACCGGCTTGTGTTTCGGTACATGTTTTGGTCTATTATCAACATATTTAAAAAATTTAAAAAATACTATAAGATGACAGACATATTCAATTAAAAAACTCTGTGTTTATTTTTTATCAAAATGTCACAAATAGTCGTACAAAAAAAAAAAACTGATGCACATTTTTTCACATATTTTGCTAATACGGATAAATCATAATCTATTGCAATAAGGGCTATTTTATTGTTGGTGCCTGCTTTGATTTATTGTACAAAGATTTCAATGAAACCACAGTCCGCGCTCGGCCGCCGTCGTGAGTGGATACTGTATCGCCTGTTTGCAGCGGCTCATTCTGAAAAGATCGCTGTACATACACAAAATATTAGAAAAAAACAAATTGGAAACATAAGTACTTGACAAGTGATAAAATTATTATTTTTATACTCACAGTTTTTTATTTAGCTAAAAATAAGTAGGATATATAAACTTACCTACTACTGCAACTCCTGGACGAACGGAACTAGGTGTGCCGAGTTTGGGCTCGTTTTGTTGGTTATGATGAGACCTTACCTCCGGACTTGATGGCGTGACCTGAAGGTGTACTTTCGTGACCGCTATTTGAACTTCTTGCAGAGTAAAACTAGGGGTGGCGAATTTGGGCTCCGTTTTGTTAGTTATGACGAGTCCATACCTCCGGACTTGATGGAGTGACCTGAAGGTGTAAATCGGTGATTGCAACTGGAACTCCTAGACTGGTAGAACTAGGTGTGCCGAGTTTGGGTTCGTTTTGTAGGTTATGATAAGACCTTACCACCGGACTTGATGGAGTGACCTGAAGGTGTAGTTCGGTGATTACAAGTGGAACTCCTAGACTTGTAGGACTAGGTGTGCCGAGTTTGGGTTCGTTTTGTTAGTTATGATGAGACCTTACCACCAGACTTGATGGAGTGACCTGAAGGGGTAATTCAGTAACTACTGCTGGAATTTCTAAACAAGTAGAACTAGGTGTACCGAATTTTGGCTTCGTTTTGTTAGTTATGACGAGTCCATACCTCCGGACTTGATGGAGTGACCTGAAGGTGTAAATCGGTGATTGCAACTGGAACTCCTAGACTGGTAGAACTAGGTGTGCCGAGTTTGGGTTCGTTTTGTAGGTTATGATGAGACCTTACCACCGGACTTGACGGAGTGACCTGAAGGTGTAGTTCGGTGATTACAAGTGGAACTCCTAGACTTGTAGGACTAGGTGTGCCGAGTTTGGGTTCGTTTTGTTAGTTATGATGAGACCTTACCACCAGACTTGATGGAGTGACCTGAAGGGGTAATTCAGTAACTACTGCTGGAATTTCTAAACAAGTAGAACTAGGTGTACCGAATTTTGGCTTCGTTTTGTTAGTTATGACGAGTCCATACCTCCGGACTTGATGGAGTGACCTGAAGGTGTAAATCGGTGATTGCAACTGGAACTCCTAGACTGGTAGAACTAGGTGTGTCGAGTTTGGGTTCGTTTTGTAGGTTATGATGAGACCTTACCACCGGAATTGATGGAGTGACCTGAAGGTGTAGTTCGGTGATTACAAGTGGAACTCCTAGACTTGTAGGACTAGGTGTGCCGAGTTTGGGTTCGTTTTGTTAGTTATGATGAGACCTTACCACCAGACTTGATGGAGTGACCTGAAAGGGTAATTCAGTAACTACTGCTGGAATTTCTGAACGAGTAGAACTAGGTGTGCCGAATTTGGGCTTCGTTTTGTTAGTTATGACGAGTCCATACCTCCGGACTTGATGGAGTGACCTGAAGGTGTAAATCGGTGATTGCAACTGGAACTCCTAGACTGGTAGAACTAGGTGTGCCGAGTTTGGGTTCGTTTTGTAGGTTATGATGAGACCTTACCACCGGACTTGATGGAATGACCTGAAGGTGTAGTTCAGTGATTACAAGTGGAACTCCTAGACTTGTAGAACTAGGTGTGCCGAGTTTGGGTTCGTTTTGTTAGTTACGATGAGAATTTACCACCGGACTTGATTGAGTGACCTGAAGGTGTAATCAGGTGGTTACAAATGGAACTCCTAGACTAGTAGAACTAGGTGTGACGAGTTTGGTTTCGTATTGTTAGTTACGATAAGACCTTACCACCGGACTTGATGGAGTGAAATTCGACACACCTAGTTCTACTGGTTCAGAAATTCCAGCAGTAGCTACTGAATTACCCCTTCAGGTCACTCTGTCAAGTCTGGTGGTAAGGTCTCATCATAACTAACAAAACGAACCCAAACTCGGCACACCTAGTTCTACCAGTCTAGGAGTTCCAGTTGCAATCACCGATTTACACCTTCAGGTCACTCCATCAAGTCCGGAGGTATGGACTCGTCATAACTTACAAAACGAAGCCCAAATTCGGCACACCTAGTTCTACTCGTTCAGAAATTCCAGCAGTAGTTACTGAATTACCCCTTCAGGTCACTCCATCAAGTCTGGTGGTAAGGTCTCATCATAACTAACAAAACGAACCCAAACTCGGCACAACTAGTCCTACAAGTCTAGGCGTTCCACTTGTAATCACCGAACTACACCTTCAGGTCACTCCATCAAGTCCGGTGGTAAGGTTTCATCATAACCTACAAAACGAACCCAAACTCGGTACACCTAGTTCTACCAGTCTAGGAGTTCCAGTTGCAATCACCGATTTACACCTTCAGGTCACTCCATCAAGTCCGGAGGTATGGACTCGTCATAACTAAAAAAACGAAGCCCAAATTCGGCACACCTAATTCTACTCGTTCAGAAATTCCAGCAGTAGTTACTGAATTACCCCTTCAGGTCACTCCATCAAGTCTGGTGGTAAGGTCTCATCATAACTAACAAAACGAACCCAATCTCGGCACACCTAGTTCTACCAGTCTAGGAGTTCCAGTTGCAATCACCGATTTACACCTTCAGGTCACTCCATCAAGTCCGGAGTTATGGACTCGTCATAACTAACAAAACGGAGCCCAAATTCGGCACACCGAGTTCTACTCGTTCAGAAATTCCAGCAGTAGTTACTGAATTACCCCTTCAGGTCACTCCATCAAGTCTGGTGGTAAGGTCTCATCATAACTAACAAAACAAACCCAAACTCGGCACACCTAGTTCTACTAGTCTAGGAGTTCCACTTGTAAACACCGAATTACACCTTCAGGTCACTCCATCAAGTCCGGTGGTAAGGTCTCATCATAACCAACAAAACGAACCCAAACTCGGCACACCTAGTTCCACTACTCTAGGAGTTCCTGTTGTAATCACCAAATTACACCTTCAGGTCACTCCATCAAGTCCGCAGGTAGGTAAGGTCTTATTATAACTGACAAAACCAGTTCAAAGTCCAGAGCTAACATCTCACTACCGTAGAGGGCTTCCAGTGCCAAGCAGTCTCTGGAGCAGGTATTCGTATTTCGTATCGAAGTATATTTCTGAGGTAGGTATAAGAAATGAAAAACAAATTCAATCTTTCAAATTATCAAAATAATTTCATTTGACTACGATTCCCACAGCTAACCGTGCGTACACTAGTGTGTGTGTGACTTTTGTCAATATAGTAGTGCGATTCTATACCTATCAATTTTGTAAACGCGTCCTTAATAAATATTGATTAAAATATATTGCTTATAAAATAAAAAAAATATTGCTTATATTTTTAATACAAGTTAGTATCTTGCTCTTGTTCAAAGAAGAATGATTTTGTTAAATAGATCAAGTTGAATTATTATTATTATTACTAATATATTGATATAATTTGACTAGCGGTCCGCCCCGGCTTTGCACGGGTGATTTCTGAATCTCGACAACAGCGCCACCTACCGGTTCCAAATGTAAATCTAAACCATCTAAGGACTTGTTCAAAGTTCAAACACACAAAAATTACGTGTAGCGCCGTCGCCAGGTGTCCACTACCTGACATTGAAAATGGGTGCTGACTCATGTACACCACATGAGTCAGCACTACTACTAAATCATATTGAATTATTGGCCATTACAAACCTCTTGCCAATTTATACGTCAGCTTTCCTACTATTAGAAGTATGAGCAAAACATTTGCGAGATTCCTGAAAACCTTTCCATAAATGGTAGGTACATTTATTAATTAAAAAAGTTAAAATAATTGGTACACTTATGGACAGGTTTTGAGCAGTGACGTAGAAAAGGTATATTCCTTTTCTTTAGATTAAAATAATGTTACACGTAGTTCTACTTCAGTGGATTCCAAATAATATTTCAGATTGATAAAACCGCATAGTGGAATCATTATCAACGCAGATAAAGATTACATCTTGGACATTCCAGAAATGCCGGGATACAAATTGCCGGGGTAAATTAAACTAACTTTGTTTAAATTTGTTTTTATTTTCACCAAATAATTTTACTGTTTTCATTTTAGCGGTAAACCCTTAAAAAAGAAAACACGACGTAAATCAAGGTAAGTAATATTAAATAATTCTAAATTGTATGTATTATCCATCTTGATAATTTACACAAATAACGGTAACATATGATTACTTATGTGACATAAGTAACACTAATATTAGCATCTAACTTCAAATGCGGACTATTTTTTTTAAACATTACATCTATTGTTACCATTTGATTGCAATAAAGATTATGTTTATGACATTGAAGTATTATGTACTTACGTACTAGAACAGCTATCTCAAACAAAAAATGTGCGCTACTCTGTGTTCGCGCGGTTGGTTTTTTATCATAGAATAAACATAGGTAGAATGACCCGTAGGTAATAGTAGATTGTATTTTTAAAAACGTAAATTATATCTAGAACAATATTTAAATTTTGTCATTTATTTTGTATATCATATTTGCTTACTTAATATAATATTACATGGTATTATATCACAATTACATTTTAATGATATTTTTATCTGAATATTTTAAAAGGTATCTATGTGAAGTATAAAAAAAACATACTAAATGTACGTTTAACAAAACGTATTAACACAACATTTAAATTACAAATATATTTATTTAAATTAGAATAAAAGTCGTTCATAAATGCCGGGCACGCGAGAGTTATAAATGGACGAATTTATACCACTTTGACTTTTTTTTAGAAATAGAAATAGAAACTTTTTTATTCAATGTAGATTATAACAATACTTATTGAAAGTCATTTTTTAATTTACCACTGGTTCGCAAAAAAAAAACCTTTGTCCTGAAAAGAACCAGCAAGAAACCCAGCGGGACTTTTTTTTTCCAATAATAGCTTACTTAATATGTTTACAATCAACAACACAAGACAAATTAGAAATAGCTTGGTAGCGATCACCCTTCCCAGGGGTTATTATCATCCATAAATTCCTTAATATTATAATAACCCTTTTTATACAAACATAGCTTAATAAAAATTTTGAAATTTGTGTATGACAAATTTTGTATATTTTCTGGGATTTTGTTGTAAAAGCGTATACATCGCCCCAAGAATGAATTACTGACTCGGTGGAGTCGAGTAACTGGTACTACTAGCTTGTGTCTACTCCTAGTATTTACAGAATGAATATCACTTATTTTCGTAAAACTACTTTTATTTTTGTGTACGTACATTTTCATAAATGTATTGAGAGACCAGAGTTAATATATTAATTTCCTTAAATTTTGTCTCAGTGAGTTTTAAATTATATATTGCTCTAATGGCCCTCTTCTGTAAAATAAATATAATTTCAGTGTCAGCCGCGTGTCCCCATAGCAAAATACCATACGACATAATGCTATGGAAATAACTAAAGTAAACTATTCTAGCTGTTTCAACACTGGTAAGAGTTCTAATTTTTTTTTACAGCATATGCTGCAGAACTAAGTTTGCTAGCTAGTTTTGATATATGGGGGAGCCATTGAAGCTTTGCGTCCAGTGTGATCCCAAGAAAAATGGTGATATCAACAAGACTCAGTTCCTCCCCATTTAAAATTACATTTGTATTGACATGTTTAACATTAGGACTTACGAATTTCATACTTTTAGTTTAAGTTCCATTCAAATGAAAATTATTAACATTAAACCAATTGACTAACTTAGCTATAGCATTATTTACTTCGTCGTAATTTAATAACTGTCGTTTTAATTTGAAAATTAATGAAGTATCACTTTGATGTGGAAACCTAAAAATAAAATAAAAGAATAATAAGCAGATTTAAACATGAAAAATTTCGCCAAATTATAATAACTTATATATGTTTCTACAAAAAAATGTGTATAATAATATATTCGTCCTATACTTAAGTACCCACAGAAATGTTGCATCTGAACATATTAATTTCATAATCTGTATTCCCTGACACAAGATGGCGTCTTAGGAATAATTTGTTTTATTATTAATACAAAATACTTTTTTATTGATTAAGTATCTTATCAACCGATGAAAAGTAATTCCTTGGTTTTTACTGACATTTCTTGAATTATTTGTACAATATCTAAGTACACACGACGGCATATTTTTATCAAGAGATTTTTTTTAAATCAACACAACACGTGACAACTCTATAAGCGCCTAGCGAGTGGCTGATTAAAGTGCGGTGTATGCACTGCAGTTGAGTGGAACAGAGTAGGCAGTGTCGCCTCTAGTACGTAGTACATAATAGCTCAATGCCCTCGATTAAGGTGAAGTGGGCGCCAAAAGCATAATTTTCACGCTTTTATATGGACTGTTTGGTCGGCCCGCTCGGTATTTAATCGCACAATATTTATTTGATATTTCTTTTTAAAATGATATATACTATTTTATTGAAAAATAAACCCATAATTCACTCACGTATTATCTCCGGCACGAGTCGTGAGCACACTTTTTATTGGTCGATATAACGTTGACCACGCTGACGCTCAACGTGATTGGTTAGTCAGTCGATGGTCGTCGTCTATTGGGTTCCCGCGTATCATTCGGCTACCGTGCACTTGAGAGCAATTTTAGTGACAACTTTTTTAATTAGTTTATTTTTGTTAATTATTTTAATTACCTATTGTTAATTGTTTTGTTATTTCTGGTTTTTACTTGTTTTTGTTATTTCTTGTTGTTAATTGTTTTCGTTGTTAAAATTTTAGTGTTCAGTTTTGATCTAAATAGGCAGATAAGAAGGAACGCAATGTAACATAGACAATCCCGAAAAATGGTCTATTGAGTGTTTTGTTACATGAAAACAAAAATAGGTATTGCAAAAAACATGATAGACGTTTATAAAAATACTACTATATTTAAAGGAGTATAGTTAAGGGAGTTAACGACTTAGAATTTCTGGTCGTATTTTTACCAAATAATGATGAGTCTAGTTCGGAGGATGAGCATGACGACAAAGATTATGGTGATGATGGCCTCTACTAGCATCGCAACTTCAGAATTTATTGAAGGCATATCACCTCTTCCTTCCTCTTATTAAAATATACAATTCTAACCACATGTAAATTTTTCGATTGAGTTTTACGAACGTGTGTATTGTTAGATAAATGATCATTATGTAATATTACTTAGCAATCTCCACAATTAATATTAATTTAAATCAATTTCAAACTACCTACATTAATTCTAAAATTGAGTCACAATATAAAAGCGCGTACACTTGTCGCTCCCGCCAGTAGATTACGAACAGTGGTGCTGAGAAGGTTATAATAGTCAAGTCTATTGTGAAATTAGGTGATTCTAAAGGTTGTGAGTAAAGTTAAATTAATAAATATAGTCTTCTTTGTGAAAGTAAAGTATAGTGTGTTATAAAGTGTTGTATACAATTTAAGAGTGAAATTAAACAGCGAATATAGTGATTAAACAGTTAACTAAGTGATTTGTCGTGGCTTTATTGGAGAAAAGCTGACAAATTGAGAAGTGGGATGAAACAACCCACACGTAATCGCAAGTCATCCTGTCGATTTGGAGTATACGCAAAGAAGACTGCTAAAGTGAGTTTACTATGAACCAAGGTCAGTGACATTTATTCCTCTTTGATAATTCGTAATAAATTTGTATGTGGATACATCCTGTGTCTGTGTTAATCTCATAAGTGGCAACCTGTTTTAATCTTCGAGCTGCCACATATAGTGTATACAGTTTGACATAATACAGTACAGTGAATACGATTTGACTAAGTGAAAAAAAAACTATTAGGCGTGATTGAAACAATTCGATTAGAATAAGATAAATTTAATCTTTTTTACTAAGATTACTTAAATATAATTTCACAGCTTGTTACCATAAAACCTATAAAGTCAAATTGCAATATTTTGCTATCATAATATCTAAGGTATCATAAGATTATAACTATAATATTTGTAACTGTAAATATTTCTCTTCCTTTAATTTGTCACCGTTAGTTTAGTAGACGCAAGTGAAAAATATCCTTAATTTTTAACATTTAAATTTTTGGTTTGTCGGTTGGTTATAAACTTATATTATGGGGTCGCCACGTAAGCGACGTAATCATGCTCGTAAACGTTATGGAAGCTCTTCAACATCAATCAATTCTTATAAGCTCTAGTACTCCTGATCGTCGTAGTAAGCAAAGACGCCATGGTAGGCAAAAACATAAACGGTCCCCATCAACCCGTTGTCGACACCACGATCATCATAAATCTCGACATGGTGATGGCCATCGATCTCGAAGTAGAAATCTTAAAAGAAACGTTTCAATAAGAACGCCGGCGTTGCCCAGAATTCGAACAGTGTCGCCACAGATAAGGATTAACTTAAGTGATATGTCTCTTAACGTTACAAGTGTGAACCCTCAGTCCCTACCTTATGTTATGGAACCACCAGTTACTTCAGGTTTGACAAGCAGTTCAATGGCTGTTCCTGTTACTCCTATTGGAGGACAAATGTGGTCTAATAATATAACGGCAAATTTTAATGTTATACTAGAATTTGATCCTTCTGTTGATAACCAAAGCATTGAATTGTGGATTCAAAAAGTGAGAGTGAAAAGTTCATATAAATATTCCTGAGGGATTTAGTTTTTAAATTTGGAAAATTAAAAGTAAAAGTTTGTCATAGTTATTTAACCAACCAGTGTTAGATTTTGTAGTATAACTGTTCCTCAATAATAAACTTTTTCGGTCAATTTACCAATTTATCATTCACGCTCATTATATTCAATTATTAGGACGTACCTAATATGCATTATATTTCATTTTTATTGAAATTCATCTATTTATGTACCTACCTAATATATTAATTTTACATAAATATTTTTTATTTCTATTTACAAAAATTATCTATTATACAATAATCAAACCAAAATTCGAATCTAATACGTAACAGTACCTCGTACTCATAATATTTGACTTTGTGTTATACTGGACTCTATAAATGTACTTAAAAATGCTAATATGTTTTTTATTATTAAATAAAAAAATCACGGGATCGGTTGATTGATAATCGGTTAGGCCTTTTCGAAATGTATGTAATATACTGTTATACTGCACTGGAAAACACCTATTTATAATAAAAATCAATTTTGAACAAAGACCTAATTAAAATTTAACGTCCTATATTATTTAAATGTTGTAAATATTTTACACTGTATTTGTAATTTTTCAATTTATTTTTTTAACTTAAGGTTTGATAACTCATTTTAGTGGGTAAAATCCTGTTGGAGAGACCTGCAAGTTTTGTACATATCTATTAGGATAAGTTATTTTGTATGCACAAAATATTATGCACTTTTTGAAGCGAGCATGTTGTTGAAATTAGGAATAATTTTACATTAAAAATGGCAAGCTTTATAGAATCGTCAAAAGAACGATACCGTAACGTTACTCTGGGTGGTTCCTAAGTCTGTAAGATGGCAAATACTAAAAATGAATCATGACAATAAGGGTCATTTTGGATTTGAAAAGACATGGGAACGTATCAAAAGGATCTACTGGTTCAAAAAATATGAGAAAGTTCACTAAAAAATATTGCAAGGCTTGTCTAGAATGTGCTCATAATAAAATTCCAGCCAGACCAATGGAAGGAATGCTTATATATATATATATATATATATATATATATATATATATATAAAGTAAAAATGAATATATCAATATTCATATAAAATAGAATTCAATGTCTCCATATATTATAAGTTGTACGTGATTGTAGAAGTAAAACGAGTATCCAAATTTTTGAAGAATACTTTGCATTATTCGGGATGTCGCGGTGGTTAATCATTCACACGTCGCGGTACCAGCTTCACTAGTAATGAATTTAGCAAATGTGTAATGGGGAAAGGTATGAAACACGTATTAAATGCGGTCGCTACACCTGGAGCGAACGCTCTGGTCAAACGATATAATAAAACTCTCGTAGAATCACTCTTCTGCTAATCATGGACATCCTGAAAATGAATGGGATACCGTATTGTTTAAAGTGCAATGGTCGTTGAACAACACAATTAAGAAAAGCACTGGGAAAACTCCTGCTGAGACTTTATTTGGGGTGGTTCCTATGGAAAGTTGCGATAGCGTTATGAACAGTGTAGTGGCTGAATCTCAGCAACTTCAAAACCGAGATGAAATTCGCAATGACGTTGTACAACGAATTTCTTCCGAACAACTGAAGCAAAGGACCAGGTTTGATAAAACAAGAAAAAAAGCTAAGCAATATAAAATAGATCTTGTTCGTATAGAGAAAGACGTATATACGGCGTCGGGACATACCAGAAAGTTGGTTCCGAAATGTTCCGGGCCGTACAGAATAACAAAAATTCTGGTCATGATCGATATGAGGTTCCAAGACACGCCGATTACTAAAAAGGAAGGTAAAGCGGCATACCTCGGAGTTTACCCGCTAGATAAAATCCACCCTTGGTTAGTATTCCAAAATGATCCAATTTCCAGTGACTCAGAGTTAATGTCCGTGTTCTCCCTTTAAGATATTTACTTGCAGTTGCATCATAATTGTTCTATAATAATGATATATTATAAAGGAAGAGATATATTAAAATAGTAATACAATACAAACATACGAGTGAAAAATAAAATATTAATTTATATTATTATATGATACTCCCTTCTGTTGTATATAATTACCTAACTAACCATATGTCATAATTATTTTAATTAATAATTATGTAAATGCTTAATATTTAACAATATGTTGTCTTTGCTTTTAGGATATGTAAGAAAACGTGTACCCAGAAAAAAAGCCGGTAAGTAATTAGTTTATTTCGATATACTTACAAGATATTTTAAGAAAATATGATAAATATATAAAAAAACGACGTCTCGGGTGCTGTAAAGCACCCGAAACGTCGGAATAATAAATATAAATTAAAGTTGAATTAAACGCGATAAAAAATCCGTAAATAATAGTTTTATTCAATGTGTAGTGTTCGCGTAAATTTAAGAAATAATTACATAAAAATACTAAAAATGTTATATTAATTCCATAATACATCGTTGAGTTTAGCAGCTTAGCACTGAATTGTGTTATTCTAATATTATTTAAAACATTATAGATCTACAGAATTTTTTCAACGTCTACCGAACTACGGAATTTGAGTTGAAATCTACGGAATTTGATTTCCAAGTTAATTTTTTTGTACTTTACAGTCCTTTCAGAATAATTACATTTTTAAAACCTTAACACAAACATTTTTTTATCATGAATGTATATTCAGCCGACAACCGAAAATTGAAGATTTTTACAATCGAAGTAATTTTTTTTATAAAATAGTAGATATAATGGACTGTAGGTGACAAACGAACACAGTCTACCTGATGGTAAGCAGTTGCTGCAGCCCATACACATCTACATCTATTCTCGATTACAAATCAAAATGCAGATGCGTTGTCACCCGTGAGGACTAAGATGGAATGCCTCGTTTCCAGTAAAAAGGGTCTCCGGTTCTCTACACTCACCATACGAATCACAGCAGCATTAAGCTGCTATTTTACGCTGGTATTCAGTGAGTTTTATTTGATTTTATCTAAAAATAATTTAATTAAAAGAAAACAAATAATTTTTTATGGTACTTTTTTCTTATATGTGCAGCTTCATTTGATGTTATACTACTATTGAACTTACAAGAATTTTACATCAAAGACCTAATTCCTTTAAAAAATTGATCGATGTAGTATAGACTAGGACAAAAACAAATATTTTCAATCCTGTTAGTAAGTCTGTAGATCTACGGATACTTTGAAACAGCAAAGACTTTAACATGCTTGAAATAAAGTTCATTTTTCTTTATTTTTATTGAATGACAGAATTGGTAATAATACAAATAAAAGTGCACCATAAAAGTCTTATATTGCCTTTGTAGAGTCGATCAGTATACACATGTGTACCAGACATAAACTTCTTACGCTCGCTCGATCGAGATACACATGTGTACCACAAGTACTACCCTTTGAAAAAGATTTTTTTTAATTAAAACAAAACCAAAGACATTATGCAATAGATAATAGTATCAAGACAAAGATATACTCTTTTATTTTAAACCATAACCTGGCAATGTTTCTTAGAAAAAAAAAAGAAATCACTCTGAACTTTCGGCGTTCCACGTGTCGCTTTGATGAAGGTGCTCCGTCTTTTTTATAGAATTTTATATTTGTGTCTGGACTAAAAACGAAAGTGTTATACTTTTTTATATTCCTTGTAATATAGTAAACACGTAGATATATAATTTGTGGTATAAAAAGTGAAAAGTAAATTGCCAAAAGTACTTCAAAATCCGGAAGGCCCATTTTGGCGGTTGGGTAATAAATGTGTTATTTTTCAAATTCTCATTTATTTTTAGTGTAAAATGTAAGTAAAAATAGTTTTCTTACATATTTCAAATAACTTGACGTTGTATTTATTTCAAATTCACACAAAAATATTTTTGAAATATTGTTCGAAATGTCATACAGATAAAATAATATTATTTTTTTTTAATTTTTTAATATTTTAATATTTTGGTATGAGTAACGAATGGAAACACATAAAACATAAAATATACATATTTCCAAACATTTTCGTATAAATTTCTCCAAAAACAAAAGTGTAGAATTCAAATTAGTAGTAATTTTGTCACTAAAATTGAAGTATATACTACTATGCTATACAGGGTAATTTATGTATTTTATTACAATTTCTAGCAACCAAAAATAATTTTATTCGATAGTTTATACATTCAACAAGAATTCCTGTAAGTTTTATCCATAAATATTGTCTCAAAGTGAAAATATAGCAAAATTTGCAATATAGCAAAAAATTTTCTAACATACAAATTTTCCCGCCATTAAGGTCCTGAGCGAACGGGAGTATAGCATGTCGTGCGCTGTCAGAGCTTACGGTTTGTTTTGACTGTACAGGTTTAGTGTGACTGTAATTTACGTAGTTTTAATTATTCTTGGGATAAAAAATTACCTATTTTAAAAAATTATAGGAATCGATTCAGTAAACGATTCTGTACAAACTACTTTCTCAAAGTGCGTTAATTATGTTACGTGTTGTATTTATATATATATATATATATATATATATATATATATATATATATATATATTATAGATTGTGTTCGGCCATTATACTGATATTTTACGCTGGTGTACTGTGAGAGCGAGATGGCGTGGTCCACTTTAAGTCCAACTGCCTGACTCATTCGTGCTGTAACCATAATAGAAACTGCAGTGGCTACCACCATGCTACCACGTACAAAATAATAAATAATAATACCCAATGTATAACAGATATATCGACTACGAAGTTACGTTCAGACTTTATTCTTAGCACAAGCGTTCCAACTTACCTATTAGAAATTCTTAAATAAATTATAGCTAAACTTTTAAGAGATTTTTTGAATGTAAATGTTAAAATTAAAATATATATTGTTTTAGAAAATGCGCTGAAATACGGAGAAGACAAAGACAGTCGAGGAACAGGTATGATTTTTTGTGTGGAATGAAAGAAATTTTTATGTACCTAAATCGTACGCGTTTCTGGCATCCGGCATTGTCAATGAGCATTTGTGTTTGATTACTTTAGGTCATTATTTATGGTTATATTAACCACATAATAATAATAATTACAGTATAATATCTTAATATCTAATACGAGGGTGGATTGAAAAGTACTCGGCCTAACCAAGAAAATAAACACATACTAAATCAGTTATATTTTTTTTTCTACATAATCACCATCAAGTTCAATACACTTTTGCCACCTCCCCTTCCAAGCATTTAGACCGTTGAAAAAAAAATGATTCTTCCTTAGAGTCAAAATATGCGTCTACAGCTGCTTTGACCTCGTCGTTTGTCGAAAATCTTTGACCTCCCAAGTGCTTTTTTAGGTTAGGGAACAGAAAGAAGTCTGATGGTGCCAGATCAGGTGAATACGGCGGATGCGGTAACAGTTCAAAGCCACAGTTGTGAATTTCAGCCATTGACTGTACTGACGTGTGAACACGGGCGTTATCTTGATGAAGCAGGACTTTTGTTCTGAGCATTCCTCGACGTTTTTCTTTTATTTCCTCTCTTAAACGACGTAGGTGCAGTAGTAATCAGAGTTTATAGTCTGACCCCTTTCAAGATAATCAATCATAATCACACCTTTCGAGTCCCAGAATACTGAAGCCATCACCTTATTTGCCGACAAAATCGACTTAGCCTTTTTAGGGGGGGTGAACCAGGTCTTCTCCACTGTTTTGATTGTTGTTTTGTTTCCGGTGTACAGTAATGAACCCATGTTTCGTCCATAGTAACAAAACGATTCAAAAAATCATCTGCATCGGCTTCAAATAACTCCAAACAGTCGCGTGAAATAGTCAATCGCGTCCTTTTTTGTTCAACTGAAAGCAGTCGCGGAACCCACCTCGCAGACACCTTGTGGAAACCCAACTCGTTGACAATGATGTTTTGAGTTCGTTCATAAGAGATGCCTATAATCTCGGCTATCTCTATAATTTTTAATATGCGGTCTCCCATTATTAAATCAAGTACTTTTTTAATATTTTCGTCAGTATTTGACGTCGAAGGCCTTCCAGAGCGGGGTTCATCTTTCACACTCTCTCTACCACGCTTAAATTCTGCTATCCATTTTTTGATGGATGAATATGATAGAGCACAATCGCCTAATGTACTGACCATGTCATCATGGATGGCTTTTGATGATAGCCCCTTCTTATGGAGGTACTTAATGACGGCACGCTGCTCGATTTGCTCCATTCGCGGAAATTATGTCCGATTACTTTTTTAATAAATTTATAAAATCACAACTAATTATCGCACACGTTTCGAACTTCACACAATGAACTAGTCTGAACTGAACTAAATAATGTGGGTAGATTTGATTTTTAGAATTGAATGGATCTGTGTTAGGCCGAGTACTTTTCAATCCACCCTCGTATGTTATAATGTATTCTAACGAACAAAAAGCGCACAAGATACCTAGGTACCTACCAATTATGAAACAAAATACTTATTTAATGGAGAGGTGGAAGAATTTTTATACAAAGTACTCTGTGGAAGACTAACTGTATCCCAGGACTTGTGGCATAACATTGGGATTACAGGAAATATTGTCGGTTTTTGTAGATATAAGTAGTATTTATTTATTCTTATTATAGTCAAGTACATACTGTCCCTGATTTTATTACCACCTTATGGAAGCCATTTTTAGAGTATAAATAAGCATGCAACTTAAGTTATTATAAGAAGCCACTCCAATACAACGTTATAACATTTGACAGCGTAGATATAGTGCATTAATCATTATAATTTAAATATTCCCAATGTAAAAGACCGTCAACCACCAATATATTGGATAAAACATTATAAAAAGAAACCTAGCCGATCCACGCTGGCCCCAGTGAAATTGTTAAGAGCAATTTTAAGAGTTGATTTACCACGTAATCGGCGGTAAATGAGTCATGAAAAAATGCACGTCTAGAAATATAAATAATAGTTTTGAGAACATTTGAAATGAACCCGCACCTATTAGGGAAGTGCGGCAAACTATTGGCCTGCTCGTAAAACCTTCTTAGGAATGAAAGGTAGTAGTAATATATGCCCAGCATTGGGACGTATGAAACCTGTAACTTTATATTTTATTTTATTGTTGATTAGGATTGAACGCATTGCTATTTTAATTATTTGCTATTGTAATCAATTTTAACTTCATTCTAGGTCCCACTTAGATGTTCCCTACACTATTATCGGAGTTACTGATGGAAAACCTAGGGCTAGGGGCACGCAGAAACATTTAAAAGACGACGATTCTGTTTGTGGCTTAGATGAAATACCAAAACCAGAACACGTGAGTACAGTTTTGACTGGTATCAGGTCTTGTTTTCAGCTTTTAAGAATCTTATTGATTTTAGTCGTATTTCTACCACCAAGCAGCATCTCTTGGGTTTCGGTATAAAGTGTAACAGAGTCAGCGTAATTATATAGTGTTAATTAATTATAATATAATTATAATTATAATATAGTGATAATTATTATATACTCTTAGTCCTTGTACCCTCTTTTGATTGAAGTTAATTAGTGATTTCCACGGGTTGCATACAGCAGGTACTTACGAACAAAATTATTATTAGCTCGTTTATGACACTTATATATCATTAAGGCCGAGTTTCGGGAACGCCGGCTTGCTACAACGGAGACTAGTTTTACGACGTTAGCCTGATTCAATTAATGACATCTTTTCATTAAATAATAGCGACAACTGTAGCAAAATCAGAAGAGAACATAAGCAGACGGGAACATTGAGAAAAAAATGAGGGGCCTGTTGTACATATAATGTTATAAAATTGTTCGGATGGTTTCTATTATAAAATAACAGTTGCAAAAATCATTTTAATTTTTTTTAGACTGTAATCTACTCCTTTTCTGCTTAAAAGTCTGGCTAAGGTAGGCTTATATTTTTTACGAATTTTCGGCGCTTAGCAGCACTAAGTGTTTCGGTCTGAAAGTTGAAAAAACCAGTACCTACCTATCTTAATTATTATCTTCTTCAATACATCTTAGAATTCGGTTGCCACACATTTTATTATTAAATTATTATACACAAATTAGGATTTGCCTTAATCATTTACACTAGGCAAACGGATTGACAATTTATACGCTGTAGAGACGCAGTTATAATTAATTAAAAAGTTATGCTGCAGTTATATTAGTAGTATAGTTGTAGCACGAATGGGTCGGCTCGACCGGGGAAGCACGACGCTCTCCCAGAATACCAGCGTAAAATAATAACATAATACTGCTGTGTTCGTATGGTGAGTGTAGAGAACCGAAGACCCTTTTTGCTGGAAACAAGGCATTCCATCTTAGTCCTCACGGGTGACAACGCATCTGCATTTTGATTCGTAATCGAGGATAGATGTAGATGTCTATGGGCCACAGCAACCACTTACCATCAGGTGGACTGTGTGTTCACTGTCACCCTATCCTATAAAAAAAATAGTACCAGATATCTCGTTCCTTAAATGCCGTTGCCCGTAGCTGATCTCAATATTTTATGTCTGGCGTAAATAATATGATATACCGTCATCTATCGGGCGTTATAAGATTTTTTAGAATTTTTCATTGACTCTTCTTACCAAGGAATGGAATATTCTCTAAGCCGCCATCAGACAAACGGATAACACACTCCACCAAACGGCAAAATTATGAATTTATATTATGAATATATTATGAACTTGACTGCAGGAATGATGTTGTAATTGTCCAAAATAATCAGATAAATAAGTGAAATGAAACATGAGATGAGTAGTAGAATCTTCCTGATAACAACCCAAAACTGAGGTTGCGAACCCGCCTGTCAAACTTGGCAGCTATTGCAAAATCCTCTATGAAAAAATTAATCTATATTAGGGAGGTCTGCTTTTCTTTGTTTTTTAGCAGTGGACTTTGATTTCAGTTTGTAGTTTGTGTTCACGTACTAATAAAAAACTACTTTGCTGTGTCAAAATACAATTACAAAATTAAGGCTTGTTTTGGCAAAAAGGCAATAATAATCTTTGTTTAAGGTTCATATTCCTAAAAATCTTAAAAGAGGGACTCTACGGACACACTCTTTAACAGTATTACCATGTACAAAAAGGAGAAGACCTGACATTCACTATGGTATTTTGACGGGATCCTTCAATATGTACGACAACAAATTTGGTAAGTAACGTTATTTTTTATTGCTAACAATAAATATTTAACATTATTTATTATATTTTAAAAGCAAAAAATGTTGTAAATGGAAGAAAAAATCCTCGTTTATTCTTTTAGATAGATCGATCATATTTATTTTATTCAGCAGGAGCCATAAAACTCGCAATAAGAGCCTATTTAGAAAGGCGCCAATCTGTTAGTCTAGGGTAGGGCTGCCACAAACTGGGAGCGATCGGAACGTTAATCAGTCATAGTGTATAGAAGAACAAATAAAGGTCCCGACTTCAGAATGTGAAATTATTATTTTATAATGTTTAGTCGCTTTACGTCAGCTTTTAATTTTTATCGAAAGTAATTTTATTATCCTTTTTAATGGACTAAGGAATATCACTAATCTCAATATCGTCTAAATAGTTTCATTAATAATTTCATTCTCTAATAGGGGTGGAACTTTTTCTCTAAATTGATATGAGACCTCGCCTGTAAAAAAAATTGTTTTTATGATACATGAAACAAGAGGCAAAATTAAAAATTTTGTACAACCTTCAATATGAATAAAATGATAAAATCATCAATCTAGTTGAAGTCAATTAAATACGCATTATTAAGGATAACTCACCGGTTTTTAAATAAAAAAAACTTGAGAGGTGTCAAGGGACACCCGGATGGAACGAATTTCCTATATATTTATATACAATATGTAACAAAAACCATGTGGTTCCCGTTAAGTGCGTTATCAGAATCAGTAATCCAAGCGTATAGAAATAAATTTTTTTTCAAAAAAACCATTTAAAAAAATTAATTTACATGAAAAAAAATTAATTTGCAAATTGTATGTGGTTTTATTTCCTCTAACTCACACGAGTATCGGTATTGCAGGGTCTTTGATAATTCTCTTACTTCTCGGCCAATGCAGAGATAATAAAACTACATACAATTTGCAAATTATTTTTTTTTTCATTATATTAATTTTTTTAATGTATTTTTTTTTGAAAAAAAAAAATGTTTCTATATGATTGGATACTGATTCTGATAACGCAGTTAACGGGAACCACAGGGTTTTTGTTACATGTATATGTATATATATATATATATATATATATATATATATATATATATATATATATATATATATATAATATTATATACTCTCGACTTCGTAAACACAACAGCGTATAGGGTTGAACACGCATGGCTTGCTAAATACATACGCATTGATATTGTAATATTAAAATATAATTTACTTTTAAATTTTTTAAAGTTATGACGCGTACATTTGCTACACACACAATAGTGGAGAGATTATAACGCGTATGTTTGGTTAGCACAATAGTAAAGAGAGGTTATAATGCGTACTTGCTAAAAATACATAAGAATTTATTATTGTGTGTATAAAATCGAAATAATATAGCAAAAAGTGTCGTTACAACTTTTGGTCTTAATTTTTTCCGTCTAGCCCCCTTTCGCAACGCGCGATAAGGAACTTCGTTCCAAAAAAAGAAACATGAAAATCGGTTTGCCTAGAAAAATTTCTGAGGTAACACAAAAAAAGACAGTCAAATTGAGAACGTTCTCTTTTTCTGAAGTCGGTTGAAAAAGGAAAAATACTCCTTTTTTGAAATCTGTTAAAATTTGTTTAATATTGTGGAAAAAGTTGTCAGTAAAAATTTTGGTATAAATACTTTAACATCCTCATATTATACATATATTATCTAATATCTAATCAATGATTATTTTAGGCTTTAGTTGATTACTAAAGGCCACCAAGGCTTAAAACTAAGTTAAAATCTGCGATCATTATCATTCTGAAATTTAAGAATGTTTCCAAGTGATAATTTCAGCTATCCCTATTATGTGATGACGTTACAACTTGGACGTGGGTCATTAGCAAAGACCTATATAATCATGAGTCATGACTTTCTGGACGTTTTCAACTTGGATGTAGGTCATGACTCTCTGGACGTTCAACTTGGAAGTGGTAAAACTGCGGGGCGAAAAGCTAGTGTATGATAATCAAACAACCTGTGAAACATTCCAAATTTTTTCTTTCAAATGGCAATGGAAGTAGCCTTCTTTGTTTAAAGTTGGTTGCAGGTGGCCGGCACTGGCTGCGGAAGCACCTTACGATTAAAGAAAATCTAAATTTTCCTGGACTTAGTCGTCATACGTACCATTTTCTATGACTGTTTCACACGTTTCTACTAACTTTCACACAACTGTCTAAGTATTTTTATTAGAACACTAGCGATTCGCACGGGTGATTTCTCTTTATCTCTCTCTCTCTCTCTCGATCTCGACAACAGCGCCATCTACCGGGTTCAATCGAGTTTTGGGTACCCACCCAAATACACAAAAAATTTCATCTAATTCGGTCGAGCCATTTTCGAGTTTTTGCAAGTAGTTACGTTGTACCAGTTCTGGCGCACTGAGTCAGAAGTGGTACAAGTACGACGTTCATCGACTCACGATTCTAAAAAAAAACATATACACACACACACACACACACAATATTTAAATATAATTTGTTAACACTAAATCATACACACGTAAGAAAATAACAGAAAGAAAAGTAAGTTTGTCGATAGATTAAACACTTAAAATTGCAATTAACAATTTAATTGGTGCCGGCGGGGATCGAACCCACGTCGCGTACTGTGAAATTTACAGCTTGCGCTAACCATCTGAGCTACCACGGCTTAATCATATACACACACAATATTTAAATATAATTTGTTAACACTAAATCATATACACGTAAGAAAATAACAGAAAGAAAAGTAAATTTGTCAATAGATTAAACACTTACATCTATGGCCTTTGATGCGTTGAAGTAACACAAATGTAGTATTGATAGATCCACTGCGGTCAAACGACCATACACTAACTCCATGACTGCAGTTGCTTGGTCTTATATAGTACCAGTAAGTAATAATTCTAATCTAAAGAATTTCTACAGTGGAATTGATAATAACTTTATGCGTCAACAAGCTTATCTCACATTTTGTTGCTTATCTCAACATTACGTCGTGTCGCGTCTTGTTCAGTGTATTGATGACTCAAATACGTTTTGTATAACACTAAATAATGCAATTTAATATTTAGAAATTACTATAATTGATCATTCCTATGTTAGTCATTACGTAGATTGTACTGTAATAATCTACTAATAGCAGTAATATCATGGATACACTAGACGTACAACAACATCTGAAAAAGATTCACCCCAGGCTAGAAAATAATGTTTATGCTGCTAATAGACTGCCCATGTACACCCACGTACCAACGTATATACCTAGTCAGGTCATAAGTATTGTCACACAGTAAAAACTTTTCTTTTAGAATGCTGACCACAAAAAAGTTTATTGAATTCGAATTGTTCATGAAAATAAAACTGTATACTTTTTAGAATTTTACTCATTTTTAAATATGGAGTGGACGCTTAAAGAAGACCATGTAGCAGTTATTGCGTTGCATCGTTGTGGTTACGCGCCAATTCAAATTTTTGACATACTGAAAAATTTGAATATAACCAAAAGATTCGTTTATCGTACCATCAAACCATACAATGAAGACTCTAGTGTAGATGACAGGTCAAGAAGTGGTCACCCTCGGTCTGTTAGGACTCCAGCAGTGATAAAAGCTGTGAAGACGCGAATTTAAAGAAATCCCAAATGTAAGCAGAAACTGTTAGCCCTTCAGATGGGGTTAAGCAGAACCACGGTGAAAAGGGTGTTAAATGAAGACTTAGGGCTTCGGGCATATCGAAGAAAAACAGGACATCGTTTGAATGCTCGTCTAATGGACCTGAGACTGAAGAGATGCCGCGCTTTGTTGAAGCGGTACGCGGGAAAAAAATATCGGGAAATTCTTTTTTTCAGATGAAAAATTTTTTACCGTAGAAGAGAGCTACAACAAACAAAATGATAAGGTGTACGCACACAGTAGTGAAGAAGCGAGCAATCGTATTCCGCGTGTCCAACGAGGTCATTTTCCATCCTCGCTCATGGTATGGTTGGGAGTTTCTTATTGGGGCTTAACAGAGGTACATTTTTGTGAGAAAGGTGTAAAAACGAATGCAGTTGTTTATCAAAATACAGTCCTGACGAACCTTGTGTAACCTGTTTCTCATACCATGTTCAATAACAGGCACTGGGTATTCCAACAAGATTCGGCGTCAGCTCATAGAGCGAAGAGCACACAAGACTGGCTGGCGGCGCGTGAAATCCACTTCATCCGGCACGAAGACTGGCCCTCCTCTAGTCCAGATTTGAATCCGTTAGATTACAAGATATGGCAACACTTGGAGGAAAAGGTGTGCTCAAAGCCTCATCCCAATTTGGAGTCACTCAAGACATCTTGATTAAGGCAGCCGCCGATATTGACATGGACCTTATTCGTGCTGCGATAGACTACTGGCCGCGCAGATTGAAGGCCTGTATTCAAAATCACGGAGGTCATTTTGAATAAAATATAGTGTCATAAGAATCTATGTTTTGTTAAGTTCATTTTGGTATGTAAATGGTACATAATGAATAAACTTGTTTCAATTATTTTATATTAAACATGTGATAGAATTTATGACCTGACTAGGTAATATGCAATTTGGGTACAGATGATAAACCAGGGTCACATTGGGTAGCTTTATATATCGATACGAATGACGTCGGTCAATATTTTGATTTATATGGACGAGCACCTGTACGATATCATCTAGAGTTTTTAAAAAGGAATTGTAAAAGATGGAACTGGAATGTTGATAGGATTCAGAATGAGTGGACTTCAGTTTGTGGCGAATATTGCTTAATGTATTTGCTATATAAGTTTCAGGGATGTTCAATGCATAGTTTTACGAGTATATTTACAGGGAATACATTGTACAACGATATTTTAGTGGATGAGATGTTTCGCTCCTATTTTATATATAATAAGTAATAAGATTTTGTATTTTGTAAATAAAAATTTTAACAAAATGAGGTAATGTGTTTTATTGTTGATTCAGATTAGTGTTGTAGATAGGAACAAAGGAGTATAATACAATAGCACTGATGAGCCGACGCACACGCCGATGAATAATAGATAATGATGGTATTCAATGAACAATAGATAAGAACAATGGAATGGAACAATGGAGCGCTAATGACGGTGAAGGCTTTCACCGGATATCAATTAGATAAGAGTTAATTGATCTGCACATCTCCGGAACCGTGCATCCTACGCAAAATGGACCGCAGATTCGTGATCAGAGCATGCCAAAAGATTCGATGAACATCTTACTTGTACCACTTCTGACTCGGTGCGCCAGAACTGGTACAACGTAACTATTTTTGCAACAATTGATATTTATATATAAGATCTTTTTATATAAGATATTTGTATATAAGATATTTATATATAAGATACATAAGAAGTATGATACAAATATATTTTATATTTTAAAGCGCACTAAACGTATGTAGTGTTATTGAACTTATGCCATGGGGACACAATTCAAACCATGACATGTATAACGGAAAATATGGCAGCCCTAGCCTAGGAGCGCCCAACTTACATTTCTACTTTATGTCAGTAGTAGTTGAATTATACGTAGTAAAAGGCTGCAATGATGATTATATTACATAGAATTTATACACATAGTAAAAGCAAATTTTATTTTAGTTCACGATACTCACGTTAAAATTACAGGGAATAGATCGAGAGGCAGACAGGCATTAACTATGAGCGTAATGGCATACTGTCTTGCGTTTCATTATCACCCTAAGCAGTGGACAATTAAGCTCGTAGACAATCTTTTAGAAGCTGGAGATCAATGGTATGTTATTTAATAAAAACGTTGATGTTCCTGACCAATTTTAACCACAATAATAAGCTAGCTATTTACAGAGCAGAATATATTATAATAGTGCGTACTAACACAAAGGCTCTCTCGTTCTTATCTCTCTATACCCATACAGCGCCTGATTTAGAGTTCTGACTATGATAAACTGGCTCTAGCCTATTCTGCCTATGCATGCCCAGCCCACAAATGGTATTATAAATAAAATTTATTTGTTTGTTTATTTTGTACCAAACATATAGAAGAAATGGCAAGTAAAATGCTTGTGGAACTTGCTGTATTATTTATTAAGAGTAATAAAACAAATTATATCGACGATGAAGTGACAAGAACTGACATTTTTGCGATTTTACTTTTTTTTTTTGTAGATAAACTTTAAATAATTATTTGCGTGAGCAGGCAATAGCAGCTAACTTTATATCTTATTTTTAACCAGTTATTAATAAATAAAATAAATAAAAATAAAATAAAAAAGCCTTTTATTCCGTGCTAAATAAGTTTTACAATATAACTTTTTTTGCAATGTAATTTGCATTTTATAAAGAAAATATAAATTATGATTTTTTTTAGATTTTAATACATTAATTCATTTCATTTTTTTAGATTTTTTTTAGATTTTAATACATTAATTTATTTCTATATTATTGAATGAATTTGATTGAGTTAATTAATGTCGTAATTTTGAGTATGATAAATATTTTTCATAATATTTGGTTAATATTTGGTTTGTTTAAATAGGTATGCATTATATTAGTAACATTAATACTTTCAATCAATACTTCACTTAAAATTTATAAATCAATGTTTTTTTTAATGGATTTGTTTTTTTATAAAATTAAGAATAGGATATATTTAATTTACATTAGTTGCAAATTGACAAATATTTTTTATTAATAATTTATATAAATATACTCATTTGTGTTTGTTTACTTTGCATGGACCCCCTTAGGTGAAGGCCTCCTCCAAAGATTTCCATTAGTCTTTGTTTTTTCGACAATTTAAGGTGTCTTCCTTTGGAGGGTGGTGGTAATAATCTTCCACGGTGACCAGCCGGGTTGGAAGATATCTTATATTGCTTAATTGGACTTGTTATTTTATAAAATCTGTAGTAGAGAGGGGTGCTAGTTGCTATGTATTTTTATCTTTGTTGTCATATTTGACTTATTTTGTGTTGGTATTATTATTAACTAAATAGTTCAGCATGCCAGGTTTCATTTACTCCTTCAGAAATACTATTGGATCTTGAAGCTGATGAGTGCAATTTCAGGGTTTTGTTTTTAATAACTGACAATAACTATTAAGCAAATGTGCATCAAATTTTCTGACAATATCATCTAATATCAATAACTACTAAATAACCCTAACGAAATTATTTCTGTCAAGACCTCCTGTCTTCACTCCTGCTAGATGCGTCCTTACTTTCACGCAGCTGCCAGCCGACTGAATGGTCCTGCTTGCGTCTAGGAAGGATAATTTGATGAATATAAATGATAAGCCCCATTTACATTCAGCCACTGCCACTGCTCCTCGCGCTGCCGGCAATACTTCCCTAAATACTGCCGTAGCAGGATCGCGGGAAGTGTGTATTCACACTCTGCCCTACCACTCACATCGCTTTCGGCTTTCGACTATGGCAGACGTCGAAATAATTACAGCGTCCGCGCTGTGTCTTCTTGCAATACAAAATTATGTTAATAATTTAAAAAGATATCAAGTTCAAAAGAAGATAGATAGATAGATAGAAAATTTATTTGCTTAAAAACATGGTACATAAGATGATCAATGACGTGGAACTGACATGTTTTGCCATAATTGGCATGGAAAAATGATACGAAATACAGCTAATTACACAAACCCGATGTTGCTTAAAAGTTAGGTACACACATTCTTTTTGAATTCAAATATTATGTACAATTAAATACTTATACAGATCCACTCTATTTGAATTCTTATACAGTAAATTGTTCATAAATTATTAATTGAATTATTATATTATTGTTACATAAATAATATTAAATATTATATGAGATTAGTTAAGCTATTATTATTTTATTAATTACACTTCAGTATAAACTAATTCGTAATTTTAATTACAATAAAATTATAATTTAAAAATCTCAGGCTATTATGCAAATATTACCTTTTAACTTATTTTACATTTTAATTAATAAATAATCAATATGAGTTACTAATCGTTTTTAGAAATAAAATGTCAATGTTCATTAATTCCTTAAACTAAATTTTATATTAATATAATAAATTTGACGAATTTATAATTAATTATGTACATAGGTACTATGTTAACTCAAAAAAGAAAATTCGTATTCGTAGAAGATGATGAATTGTGGTTTTTATCGTTGAAATCCCATATAGTTTTTTCTGATTCCAGCAGTTCTAAAAACTTTATTGTATTTTCATTAATCCACTCGAAAGGCATTTTGGTAGATCGTATTTATTTAATAACAGGACGGCACGCACGTCCGTTCATCCAGGCGCTTGTCGCGAAGTGAGCGATGGAGCTGAATGTGAACACACACTGCCGCTCGCGCTGCCCGTCCTTTGACTTCCGCACGAAAAACCGACATTTCGGGCAGTGTCAGCGGCAGCGGCAGTGTCAGCGCGAGTAGCCTGTTTACATACTGCCCTGCCCACTGCCCTGCTCACTTCCCTGCCCAAACGGGCTGAATGTAAATGGGGCAATAAGGAGACGGATAGAAGGGATCATGCGATATTCGCTTACCTTTTTTCTTCTGTCATTTCGTTTGAATTCGGAGCAAGTTGCAACGTGAAAGTTTGTGGGGTGTTTTTGTTGTTTTTTATGTAAATAGTGGGATTTTTGTTATACCAGGTAATTATTTTTTGCCTAAACTAATGCTCATACAGTTAAAACTTAAAAAGTGTTTTCTTCTTGTTTTTTTTTTTGTAATTGTTAAGGTTAATGAATACGTTTTTCAAATACCTAAGTAGGTATTTTAAAGTTGATGAAGTTTTCTGGTTTTTCCGAGCTATATTAATAAAATATACAGCTTTGTTAATCATCTACTTAAATTAAGTTTTATACTACAATAATATCATAAGATTATTATGTTATAGTAAGTTTTATTGGTGTGTTCCAAAAAATTTGATTTGTACATTTTTAGTAGATAGAAGCATTTGCTTTTGTATTAGTATAGAACCATAATAACTTTTATTTCGTTCTAACAAAAAAATACTGATGTTTAGTCATTAATTATAATACCTAATAATCTTTTTTATAGGCCGACAATATTATTACTACCGCTATGGCTCGATTTCTACAAGAAGTGAGAAGCAAAAGGATTCTTAGCGAACTTCAACAAGATAATTTGGTAACAAACCTAAGACATTCTACTGCTGAGGAAAATGAACAGATATTTGAACATCAACACGAAATGGTAAGATATTAAAATCATGTGAAGGTTTTGCGTATAAAGTTCTTCCGCTTTGCATAAATAGGAACCTACTTTGTAAGAACACCTTAACTTTACATTTAATAATGATTTATTTATTTATTTTTAGTCTGAAGATAACATCAACACGCCTTTTTCTGGCAATTGCTGTAGTCCTGAACAAAGCGATCTCAACCCTAATGCCAACCCAAAGGAAGCTGTCAACGCCAACATCAATGTTTTAAGTCCACCAGAAATCTGTAGCTTTGAACCCACAGAAATCCTTGACAATAATGATTACGAATCTACTTCTTTATATTCAAGCACTCGTCGTCGTCTCGTAATAAGGTCTTGGTCATTATCTGATTTAACGCGTGATACAAACAATATGATTCCCTAAAAAAGTCGCCATCGGTTCCAGCGTTCTTGGACATTACCAGTAATCTTGATTTATTATTTGCTTTTAACAAACCGGATCAGATCGAATCTACATCAGATGATGTTTACCAAATTCCTGAAGAAAGAAATTTTGCTGAAGTGTTTGTGACTGGGGACCAACAACAATATTATGGAGATATGGAAGAAGGTCGAAAACGTCGTCACAATGCTGACCCAAAATCTTGGAAAAGGAACAAGGCTTTTTTGAAGCGAATGCGAGGTGAAGATTATCTAGGATATTCTATACCAAAAGATAGGAAGTTCCAACAAGATACTGTAAGACAAGCAAGACGGCTAAGACCAACTTGCGTCTCCAATTTTTGTAAGAAGAGTAAGGTAAGAGGCTGTGATATGTTCACTGAGGATTGTCGAAAGGATATACATAGCAATTTTTGGAAGAAAATGACCTGGGATCAACGAAGAGTTTACGTTACGGGATTGGTGACTCGATCTAGTACATCTCGGAAAACTGAATCGGCTAGTGAACTATCTAGGCGGGAGGGAACTCTATCATATTTTTTGCCGATTGAAAAAGATTGTTCAAATAAAGTACAGGTATGTAAACAAATGTTTTAAACACCTTATCACTGGGATCGTTCACTGTTCAAGCATGGGTAAAAAAGAGAGTCTGGCATGACTTCAAACCATGATGCAATATACGATTCTAAAACAAAGAATCCAAGAGCAGAAGTAGAAACGAAACTTTCGATTTAAAAAAATGTTTTTACAAGTTTGCCAAAATTGCCGTCGCATTACGCAAGAAAAGATACAGCTAAACTCTTCATAGAACCAATCTATCGTTCTCTTTCCGACTTATACAAAGCGTATAAGAAATATTGCACTGAAACTAGTCAACCTTATGTTATCAAATCAAATCAAATCATTTATTTGCAATCTAAGTGTACATAATTGGTATTAAATTAAAAATGTGCTTACAACTTAGACGCCCTTTTCAGGCACTGCAAATTTGACAAGGGCACTGCTTATGTACTATTAACATACATAAAATAAAATTAAAAGCTATAAAAGATATAAAAATATATAATAGTGTTATTTTTTATCTAAATACTCTTCTACTGAGTAGAAGGGGTTTTGTTTTAAATATTTACCGAGGCTTGATTTAAATTTGGTTAATTCTGATATATTTTTTATTTCCTGAGGTAATTTATTATATACTTTTATTGCCATATAGTAGGGGCTTGTATTTAACATTTTTGTTCGCGACTGTGGTAGATTTACATTTGAAAAGAATTATCATGACAAAAATTTGTCACTATTTACGCTTAAAAAGGACGTGTGTGACACCTGTTCAAGTTACAATTCGGATAATTTAAATAAATCAGATTACCAAATACATATAATTAAGAAAAACAGGGCTAGACAAGAAAAAGAAGAGGACAAGAAAAAAGCAGCTGCTGGAGAATTTATACTTTTGACTATGGATTTAGAGGCTGTGAAGGTTTGTCCTTACCTTACTGCTAGTGCTTTGTATTTCAAGACAAAGTTAACGTGCCATAATTTCACTGTTTTTAATTTAGTAACCAAGCACTGCAGTTGTTATTGGTTTGACGAAATTTCCGCTGATTTAACGTCTAGCACTTTTGCGACGTTTTTAATTGATTATTTAGAAAGACATTGTATTCCACATCAGTTATCAATTGTTATTTACTCCGACGGGTGCACATACCAGAATCGTAATTGTGTGCTGGCAAATGCACTGCTCCTTTTGAGCAAGAAACATAACGTAATCATAACGCAAATTTTTGTAGAACCAGGTCACACTCAGATGGAGTGTGACTCGGTTCACAGTACTATTGAGCGAAAACTCAAAAATCGGGAAATACATTTGCCAAGTGATTATGTCACGATTACTAAAGAGGCACGAAGCACTAACCCTTATGAAGCAATTAATGTAGATCATGAATTTTTTTAAAGATTATGCCCGACCTGAAAATATGCTTTATAAAAGTATTCGACCAGGCCGCAAAGCTGGCGATCCACAGGTTGTAGATATCAGAGTAATAAAGTACAATACTATGACAATCGAAGTTAAACTGGGTTTTGACGAACAGTTGATTCCTTTACCGCACAGACCTAGGTTACTAGCTTCGGAAGCAATCTATCCTCCACTACATCCTAACAAAATTCCAATTACTGTAACGAAGTACAACCACCTGCAACAACTAAAAGCAGTATTACCTAAAGATTGCCATAATTTTTATGACACTTTGCCATTTGTTTGAACCATTTGGTTCATTTAATAAAACATAATTTTTAAGACAACATAGTTGTCCCAACATCATCTTCCTGCCCTTGTCCGATTTTATTTGCGGTCGGCATAACATGTTTTTTTCTTCCATTGTATTTGTTCTAATAATCGTAATTATAAACTGATTATATTCTGTTTTCTTTTAATTAAGTCTCTAGAGCAATGTAGCCATTTTTATGTTGTATCAGATATTTGATTGTAATAATTAATATGACAATGTTATTTTCTAACAATCTGAAACATTTTTGAAGTTAATTAAAAATTATTCTATGAAAATCACGCCTTTTCTTTAAAATATTATAGAAATTCCTTACTAGAAATATCTTCTATCTTTGCTATTATAATGTATATTTTCAAAGCCTAGATTGCAATATCACCTATCTACGTCTAAATCAAAAAGTTGATTGTATATACACTAGTCGCACATAGCCCCCTATACCCGCTTCTTATTTAATATATATCCAATAATAGTATTTTTCATACCTTGCGTTTAAAATAAATAAAAAGTTTTTTTCGTTTCCTCTAAAATCATGTTGTGGTAGATAAAGGTTCTTGTCACTTCATCGTCAATATTCTATAAATAAGTGATACTTGCAAAGTCAAATTCTGTGTCGCCTAAGTCTTTGCGTCCTAGTCCTAGGCTCTAGTCTACTTAGCCTGTGAATAAATCGGGTCCTGCTCCCATACCACGTAATAGATAATACCGGAGATGGGTTTGGAGACTTATCCGAGATCGAGAGCTGGACAATCAAAATGCAACAAGAACCCAAAAACCAAAAACTTTTGCACAAATGTTTGCTACAGTTAGAATTCGAACCTTTCGTCGATCATCATTTCAGCCATTCACAAATTCGCTGCAGATTAGATCCGACGTTTGAAGCGAATTTAATGAACTGCGCTTTTCTAGATGGGGACGGGGATTTATATTTCTATATAATACTGATAAAAAAGAGCCGTGATAGCTCAGATGGTTAGCGCTCGCTGTAAATTTCACAGTACGCGAGCAAACCGGGTTCGATCCCCGCCGGCACCAATGAAATTGTTAATTGTAATTTTAAGTGCTGATTTACCACGTGCTCGGCGGTGAAGGAAAACATCGTGAGGAAACCTGCATGTCTGAGGAATAAGAAAAAAAATATTTCGAAGACATGTGAAGTTCGCCAACACGCATTGGGGCAGCGCGGCGGACACTTCCTTGCCCTAAAACCCTCTCAGAAATGAGGGGAGGCCTGTGCCCAGCAGTGGGACGTATATAGGCTGTAACTTTACTTTTACTAAAATATAATTCATGCCAAAAAATTATATATTCTGTGAGGGAAATCATTATAACGAGATGACTTTGTTTAGGTATTTACAATGCTTGGAAAAGGTACATGACCACTCATCGGTACAGGGCATGTGTGAAGTGTTGCCTTTCGGGAAAAAACAAACGTTGGTATTAAATGGAAAGCGAATGCAGGTGCTGCTTGGAGAGCCTGATATAGTTGGTTACACTATGTCCCTGGATCCCACTGTTTATAATTTGTGTAGAGGCTTAAAGGCGTTTTTCTCAGAATACCGCGCTGGTATACTACTTACCAGGCAAGTTTATTTGCTTTGATTTTTTAAATACAGTTACAATTCTTTCTTTGTTTTAGTAAGTTTTATTGAAGACGAATCCACATAACCCAAATACCTGTCTGTCAGTGACAAACATTTTTTTGAGCATTTCTTCCAGTTGAATTTCTCTGACAAACAAACTCGCAGACAAAAAAGTCTTTATTCAAAATCCTTTGTCAAGAAAATCCTTTTGAACTTTTTAAAAATCTTTAATTAAAATCTATGAACTTACCTATTCCCGTGGGCACGTAAGAGCAACTAAGGGAAATTCCCGTGAAAGGAGAAATAATCTTGTATTATCGGTCATGTATGCTAGCTGTAAAATTTCTCCCTCTTATGAGAAAGGCCCAGGTCCTGTGGTAAGGCCAGAAGCTAGTTGAGAAAGAAATAAATATAAATAAATAATAATTTTCAACTTGGAAGATACTTATTTTACTAGTGGCCAGTTATAAATGACTTACGATAGTGATATCTACGACAATGTTTTTATATTTAGTGCGTTTAGCGGGTTTAGTCCGAGAGATTATTGATTGTTGAATCATGATAAAATTATAAATTTCTTCTCATTAACAGAGTTCTCAAGGTAATAATATGGAAGGACAACATATGCTATTATATTTTCGATCCAGCTGGAAGAGATTCACGAGCATATTCGAATTTCACAAACGGCTGCGCCGCTTTAATAAATGTAAAGGACTTGGATTCCGTGGCTGAAGTAATTTTAGCTCGAAGCGTAGTAGAAGATCAGAGGTTCGTTTTAGCGCCCGTTAAAGTCCTTAAAATGGTGGATGAGAAAGCTGATGAGGATTTTGAATCCGATAAAGAACTAACACAAGCGGAGAAGGCAATGATGAGTTATAGAATCCTGAATGAAAATTGTGCTCTTGTTAATGCGAATATGCATTTAGGGGATAGATGTTTTGAAGACGCAAAATACCGGCAGGCTTTACCAATCGCTATAGTTGCAATGACTTATGCGAAAATCTCTCCTCCTAATACGTGGTTCACGAAAACTCTGGATAAAATTTTACGTTTAGGCAATAAGCTTTACGTTGACTGTGTTCACCCCAAGGTGATGATTGACATGACGATAGATAATATTCCCAACGAAATAATGATTGGCCCATATGTTTGCGAAATCATAATCTACAGAGAAAGAGTAAAGGGGCAACTATTCACGACGAAAGAATGCTTCTTTAACATCAAGACTGGTTTGGAAGAGTTCTTCAATCGCGATTATAACAGTGGCATTCTTGAATTCAATAATTATTCGCTAGCAGTGTGGAGACAAAAAGAAATGTATTACTTATTTGACCCCTATCCGCGAACAAATGATGGCATGAGATCAACTACCGTTGGTAAGGCTTGTTGCTGGATGCTTTTAAACCCTGAGACGATGGCGTCAGTTTTTACGAAGAACTGGGACTACCTGCCATCCACTACTCCTTTCCAAATACATGCATTTAAAGTATTGAGGTTGAAAAAAAGAGAACCAAAGGTATTTTGAAATAATTCTTTCCTTTTTAATGAAATAAAGACCGCTGTTTATAGAAGAGGGGGCAAACGTGCATGCGACTCACCTGATGGTTAGTGACTGCCGCCACCCATGAATAACCTGCAACACCAGGGGAATTGCAGGTGCGCTGCCGGCCTTTTAGAAAAGAGTAAGCTTTTTTTTGGAAGGTCTCTAAGTCCTATCGGTCCGGCAAAATCGCCGGTAGTGATCAATCCCACAGATAAGTTATACGAGGAAGAAAACTCCTAGTAAAACGCATAGTGGAGCACCGCCAAGCATCCAAATGGTGAGGACGGTATCGTGAATAATGCTATGTGCGTTCGTGAAATTTAGTGGTAGATGCGATCGAAAATATAAAGGGATGCAACATCCCGTCGCTATGCCTACTCAGCGCCAGTGAATCGAGTCAATCATAAAGAACTCGGTCGTCGATGATTCGAACCGCTCTGCGCTAGATGTGGTCAAGTGGAAGGATCTGGTACTGGGGTGCTCAGCCCCGAGATGAGAACAGTGTTCAATATAAGGCCGAACTCAAAAGTCGCCCCCAATCTGAGACTTTGTTCAGCAAAGACTCGACTTCAGACATAAGTTTGTTCCAGTACTCGGTGACGTTTTCCCGAGAAATATTGGCACGGAGAGTGTATAGAGCATCACCAGTGCTGTCGTCTGCATAGCAATTAATGGTACCGGTTTGCAACATATCATTGATATGCAGAACAAATAGCGTTGGTGATAGCACGCAGCCTTGTGGAACACCAGCGTAAATAGGCTTGTAGTAAGAGCATGCACCGTCCACTACGGTCTTTATGTCACTGTAAGGAAACTGGTGATCCAATTGTACAATTTCTTGGGAAGCCCATAGAATGAGAGCTTCTAAAGAAGCACTTTGTGGCAGACCCGATCGAAGGCCTTCGATATGTCCAAACTAACGGTCAATGCTTCCCCCTTGGACTCTACTGCCTTCAACTATCTATGAGTCAGGTAGACCAGAAGATCACCAGCTGATCGACCAGGACGGAAACCGTATTGGCGGTCATTAATCAGCTGGTGGTCCTTAAGGTTATTTGTTGTTTAAGGATACCTCACGAGCTGGCAGTTTATTATGGACTCCATTATTTTGAAGAACAAGGAGGTGATGGTGAGGTCTGTATTTGGATGGGTGTGAGCGGTCGCCTTTTTTAGGGATCGCGTGGACCAAAGCTGTCTTCCAAGAATTCAGAACTACGCCTTGGAAGTAGGAGTACCGGAAAAACCGCGTTAAAACCGGTGCCAACTCCGGAGCACACGTCTTCAGCACAATGGGAGGGACTCCATCAGTCCCACTCGATTTATTGACATCTAGGGAGGGAGACGAGTGCTTTACGAACCGAGTGCTGTGTAAACCGCACATTCGGCATGGAGCACTCACGCCGCGGGATGATCGGCAGAGTGTTCCCCCCATCACAGAGAGTTCAGTTGAATGCAAAGAGAGAGTCTAACTGTTTTGCAGTATTTTTTATACTAGAGGGGGCAAACGAGCATACGGCTGGTAAGTGATTACCGCCGCCCATGAACAGCTGCAACACCAGGGGAATTGCAGATGCGTTGCCGGCCTTTTAAAAAGGAATAGGCTCTTTTCTTGAAGGTTCCTAAGTCGTATCGATCCGGAAGAATCTCTGGTGGTAGTTGATTCCACAAGGAAGTTGTGCGAGGAAGAAAACTTCTTTTAAATCGCTTAGTGGTAGACCGCCAGTCATCCAGATAGTATGGATGGTATCGCGAGTTTTGTCGCGATGTGCGATGGTAAAACTGTGCGCCTGGAATTAGTCCGGACAATTCTTCAGAGTTACTCCCCGTGGTAGATGCGATAAAATACGCAAAGAGATGCAACATCTCTTCGCGTAGCCAGTGAGTCAAGCCGATCGGAAAGAGCTCAGTCGCCGACGATTCGAACTGCTCTGCGTTGGATGCTATCAAATGGAAGGAGCTGGCACTGGGGAGCTCCGGCCCAGAGATGGGAACAACCCACCACCTCCCATGGCCCCACCGACCCTCAGGTCATACGGGCCTAATCTCGGGAGATACGCGCGGTACTTGCACCTTGCTCTTTCCCGCGCGCACTTTCTTGACTCCCTACAAATATTTATTCTGTTCCTTGTCCCAGTTTTACGTCATTCTCCCCCTTCTGAGGCTGACGGCACAATAACGCCTACGTCGTCGGGCCTTCCTACCAGCATCCTTTTCTGCCTTCTCCTGCGATCGTGCCACCTATGCGCAAACTCACGCAACAGCCCGTAGTTCACCCCATCGCTGACGAGATCCGAGTAGTAAATCGGTCCCTGAACCGTTCGAACCAGCCCATCCAACACTTTCGCTCTTAGATCGTCATACAGAGGACATTCCCATAGGACATGGTGAACATCCTCCTCTGCCGTACCACACTCACACATACTGGTTTCACACAGTCGCATGTCATGCAGTCTCTTCCGAAAACATCCATGTCCAGTGAGAATCTGGGATGTTTGATAGTCCGGTGAGACCCAGGTATACCTGAGTCTCAACGCCACCTCCGGGAAAAATCGATTTAACTCACGTCCTTTCGTTTCGTTTTCCCATCGATTCTGCCATATGCCAATCACCTCAGTACAGATATCGCGCTTTCGTCTGCTTTGGCCTTCTCTTCCAAGTGACCACGAAACTGCACGTCACTCGATATGTCGACGCCGAGGATTCTGATACTGGTTGAGGCAACAAGGGAAGGGCCTTAAAACTGAGGAGACGAATGGGTTCTTTTTAGCGGTAAACTCGCAAACTTGTGTCTTCTGGGGATTAAACTGGACTAGATTTAGTCGCCCCAGTCCGAGATTTTGTTCAACAAAGTCTCGACTTCAGACACAACAAGTTTGTCCCGGTACTCTGCAACGTTTTCCCGGGAAATATTGGCACGGCCGGTGTATAAAGCATCACCAGTGCTGTCGTCTGCATAGCAATAAATGCTACCGATTTGCAACATGTCATTGATATGCAGAAGAAACAGCGTTGTTGATAGCACGCAGCCTTGTGGAACACCAGCGTTAATGGGCTTGTAATCGGAGCATGCACCATCTACTACGACCTTGATGCTCCGATCAGCAAGAAAACTGGTGATACAATTGCACAATTTCTCGGGAAGCCCATAGGAAGGAAGCTTCGTAAGAAGCGCTTTGTGCCAAACCCGATCGAAGGCCTTCGCTATGTCCAAACTAACGGCCAACGCCTCCCCCTTGCTCTACTGCCTTCACCTATTTATGAGTTAGGTAACCTAGAAGATAACCAGCCGAGCGATCGCGACGGAAACCGCACTGACGGTCACTAATCAGCTGGTGATTCTCAAGGTGCCGCATGAGCTGGCTGTTAATAGCAGATTCCATTATTTTTGAGAACAAGGAGGTGATGGCGATATGCCTATAGTTGGACGGATCAGAGCAGTTACCTTTTTTCTTTAGCTTAGGCCAGTGAGTCGTCCTCTTTGTGCAGAGATGGAAGAGATGACTGACAGAAGTTCCCTTGGACAGCCTTGGCGAGAGACCAGAATGCATGGGTTCCCGAAAGAAGGCGAACTAGCTTCTCGCCAAGTCTGCCGATGTGTTCAGACCTTACCTTAGCAATCACTCTTTTGAAGAACCTGGAGGCGGAACTTTACTTATTTTTAAGAGTGCTGGTGTTTACATATCGAGAAGTTGATGCGTATGCCCAGGTCCGGTAGCACTCCTGCTTATAGCGTGATGCATTTTATAGGGGCGGCCAAACCATAGCTGGGATCTACCTCCGATGGGCACCATGGATTTTATTTATGAGATGCGTACGTCTTATTACGTTAGGCTTTTTTGATAAGCAACTAAGTATCTGCTCCGGCGCCACCAACTGGGTGCAACTATGCTTATAACCTTCACAGAAATGCAAGCAATATGTTGACATAGTTTTGCCGCAACCTGATGATGAATGTCAGCGAATAAAATACAAACAAACAAAATATAATTTTTATAATATAATTATATAATTTGAAGCGACAGTAGCCTAATGGCAGGGCGCGGACCGCGAACTCAAAAAGGTCGTGGGTTCGAATCCGCCATTCGACTACTGCCGTGAACCACTCGTAACACAAGCAAATTAAGCTTACCACGAGTGGTTAAGAGGAATATTAGTAATGTTTATAGCATTGTTAATATTCTTTTTAAAAAAAAATATATGAATTTAATTTTTTGTAAGCGGATGCTATGGGCTCATAGACATCTACATCTATCTTCGATTAAGAATCAAAATGCAAATGCCTTGTCACATCTGAGGACTTAAATGGAATGCCTAGTTTCCAGTAAAAAGGTTCTCCAGTTGTCTACACTCGAGAATATTAAAACTGCATAGTTCAAGATTCGCGATTAAAACTTTTTTTGACACAAAACCTATAACATTATTAATTATAAAATGTTATGGAATTCTATTGTTTGACTTTCAATTGTTTTTAAATTAAGTATTTGGGCTAAGCATCGAAGGCATTACTAATAAAAATATGATGTAATAAAAAGTTTCATACCCTGAAGTACTACATCAGCGACAGAATCGGCATCAACGCTGGGATCGTGTGGCGAATTGTAAACACGCCCCCAAGGGTAGGATGCGAAAAAAGACCGCATGCTATCCCAATCGGCCGACCTATAGTGGCCAAATACGACGGTAGTGTGAATAGCACCACACTCCGGACAAGACAATGGTCCGACGAGCCTAGAGGCCCATTGACGAAAACCTCATATCCGTCCGTAAGAGGTCAGCAGAAGGTGCAAAAGGGAAGGTGCATGATCCTCTACATCTGGAATCCCTTTAGGTGAATAACCAGCTGTGTATGAACAGTAAACAGATTTCCCCGCATCATAGTTTAAACATGAACCGAGCCATTCGGCGTGGTCGGTGCTAAAATCGCCAAGGATTACGTTCTCTGCGGATGAGATCTGCTGTAGCAAGGAATCTGT